ACTCAGAACAGTCTCATAATACACACATGCACACAGAAGGATTCACACTTGTATTTCATGATCCACAAAAGGATTCACACTTGTATTTCCGGATCCACACTTGTGTTTTTCAATGCACACACAAATGTGTTCCGTTTCATATACATGTAAATAAAATCCAAATACAGAAAAAAGTTTTACATATGTATTTTTGATCCTCACATATTTGTTTTCCGTTTAAATCTCCTGAACCTGCAAACACAACCCGCTTTCTGTGCATGGATCGCGGTGCATTCGTGTGTGGGTTTTTTGAGACTCCCCCGACGGTCACCCGTTTCGTACTTGTAATTTTGTCTATCTATAGCCAATCAGATGTCTCCTTCATTCTAAGCCAATCACATGAGCGCGTCCCCACGAGGGTATGATTTATTGCGTTCATGACACTTCATATACGCATTTTGCGTAGCCTGTCCGGAGCAGGGTTTCCACAGACAGAATTTATTTTACCGGACAAATTTGAAACTTACCGGTCATGTTTCAATCATAATAAGAAGAAGAAGAATTGTGTAGCAGCGTTTCCGTTAGCAGGTAATTACCGGACTATGACCGAATATGGCTAATAACACGGGAGTAAGGATCATCTCTTTTTTCCTTTCTCCCTCCCTCTCTCCTGACAGCCCGTCAGTTTCTCATGCAGCTCGCTAAAACTTCACTCGCGTTTATATCCATATCGATCAGATCCAGCTCTCAGATCCAGCTCTCCTGATCGGCCTTTATAGAGACCCCCGATCAAACTATTAACGTTTGCGTTTATGCACAGTATGCGTATTCAAAAAAGTCTTCTGTTCACATGCATTCGTTTCATTTAACGTGTCTGTTCAAACGAGACCGCTGGAAACGCTGTAGTACATATGCCGGGACTGTAAGTTGCGCTGTAACTTCCGCCAAAATACACCAAAAGCAGCGAAGAAGAGCAGCCCGGAGCAATGTTGCCATGGCAACCCTCCTGTTATGCCCCGCGGTGTATTTAGCAACATGTAGTTCATGTAATTCTCCATGTCCACTTGTTGCTGATGGTTGTGGTAGAGGAGCTGTAGATTTTGCACTAATATCTGTAGCATGGTCAGTAGCAGTAGCACTAGCAGTAGCTACTGACAGGAGGAAGTGTGTGTGGCGATTGCTGGTATTCAGCGGGATATAGTAATTTCCTCAGCATATGGATAAATGCAACGGGGAAGTTAACTGAAAGAAACCGAATCTGTGGATATTGCATCGACCGACCAAGAAGCACGTCTCTGTGGAGAGGACGCGCTCAGAAAGAGAGATATTCTCTACAATATAGTATATTGGGCGTTAACAATTCTGGTTTGCCTTTTATAATATTATTTCATTCAAGAACCCCTTGTGCGTTTAATGAACACAGCTATTTTTGATAGTTGCTACAGCAGTGAGCAGGAGAGGTGGGGCTATCGTTATTTTTTCAGGAAATATTCGTATAGAGGTGATTACACGGACTCGGTTGACCCCCCAGAGCGTTTCGTTTGCAAATCTATCCACCTTGGGACCCGTTATCGTTTGTGGGGTCAGTTTCTATCGGCCTCGTGTAAATAATAGGGCTATACGCACGCGAAACTATGCAGATACAAGCAGTTTTCTCCTCGTGTAAACGGCGCCTAAGAGTGAATATCGGCCGATAATGACCGGCGGGGCTCCCCCCTTTGACAGTTCACTGTCTAGCACTGGCTTCGTAGTACACTGATCGATTAGGCTAAGCTAACCTGTAGCTGCTCCCTCCACACTCACAACAACTTCATACAGACATAAATAAAGCAGCTGTATTCGCCATACAGGAAACACACATTTAAAACGGTTTTGCCTGCCGTTTTTATGTACACAAGCATTCATTAATGGTTCGGAAAGTGGCACTGTGTACCTTAATAATATAAAGGCTTGTATTTGCGTGCATTTCCTGCTCGGAAAGTGGCAATGTACTGAGAGTGGAAGTGTCCTGAGATTAGCGCCTGCAGGCAGGCTCCATGGACCTGTCAGCTCCGGACAGCGCAAAACGCGTACATGAAGCGCTACGTCATGAACGCAATAAATCTACCCTCGTGGGGGCGCGCTCATGTGATTGGCTTAGAATTGAGGAGAAATCTGATTGGCTATAGATAGACAAAATTACAAGTACGAATCGGGTGACCGTCAGGGGAGTCTCAAAAAACCCACACACGAATGCACCGCGATCCATGCACAGAAAGCGGTTTGTGTTTGTAGGTGCAGAGGTTTTAAACGGAAAACAAATATGTGAGGATCAAAAATACATATGTAAAACTTTTTTCTGTATTTGGATTTTATTTACATGTATATGAAACGGAACACATTTGTGTGTGCATTGACAAACACAAGTGTGGATCCTTTTGCGGATCATGAAATACAAGTGTGAATCCTTCAGTGTGCATGTGTGTAATATGAGACTGTTCTGAGCCCATATTAATCAAAGTCAAAGTCAATTTTATTGTCAATCTTCTAGTTTGTGTGTACAGACGTACAGACAGAGAGATTGAAATACCGTTTCCCACAATCCCTAATATAAAAACAAAAGTATATACAAATATGTGCGCAAATATGTATATATATATACACAGTCAAAGACACATTTTTACATGTGCACACATTAAGACCTAAATAAAAACACAACAATCAATATATACAAAATAACAGTTACTTCAATATTTTGAGAAATGTACATTAGTGCAAGACTGTCCATAGAATGTGCATTTGTGCGAGATTGTCCATAGCAGCGTAAAAAGTGTCACATGAAATAGTCTAACAGAAGTTAAATATCTTTTTAAATAAAAAGATAAATGACTTTTCATGTATGCTGAAAAAGTCAGTGAATCAACAATTCTCTGACTGTTTAAAGCAGGGCTCTCCAACACGTCGAGTAGCTCGCGGGCAGCTTTTCAGTTGCTCGCCGCTCGATTATCGATTATAGCATTTTTCGGCCGCGGCTGGACAATAACGTTTTTTTATTTTAGAATTTGTTCCGTCACACGAATATCAAATTGGTCGGTGACGCAGAGATCAAGGAACAGACGTGACAGCGGCACAGCGACACCACACACGGAGCAGTCTGCTTTCTCCACCAACACCAGTCCAGAACTAACAGCAGAATGACCCGCTCGGCTCTGAATCAGGCCCATGTCGCTGCGGCTCAGAGACACACGAGGGATTTGTGTTTTTTGAAAAACACTCGTTATCGTCATGTCAGGCCCCCTCCCTGAAAATAATGAGTGACAGGCTGATAGTGACCCGATAGAAACTTTATTAATCACTTAATCACTGATTGAGATATAATGAAGCTAACTTAATCTCATACATTCATGGGATTTATGTAACCGTAAGACAGAGAATGTAAGTGTGCACCCACATGCACTATTTTTGTTTTTATAATGCTGTTGTAAATACTCCTGTTGTCTGCTGTGTTCAGACTCAAGTCGTGTGTGTGATGCCACATTCAGGACATTCAGTGTCTTTTTTTTAACAGAAGACCGTTGCTAGAAGCTGCAGCTAGACTGCAGAAGTATTAGTTTTTTGTTTTTAAGGATGGAACAATTTCACACACACTCACACAGATATAGGGAGGCTAGACCTATACAATTGATTTATTATGGTTTATAATTTCATGTCAAGACGAAGAAGAAGAAGAAAAAGATGGCTGAACTGTTCAGTGTCAATCCTGTGGAGACGAAGATGGAGGTTATAAATCTCCAAAATAATGTTCAGCTTAAGTCTCAGCAAAACTCACAACATTTCTGGAGCCTTGTAGACCCAGAAAACTATAAGAACATTCACCAAGCAGCACTGAAAATGTCTGCTTTATTTGGCTCTACTTTGTGAAGCAGCTTTTTCTGACATGAATGTCATGAAATCTAAATACAGAACAAGAATGACTGAAGAACATATAAATGACTCTATTAGAGTGAACCTAAGTGGGTACACTCCAGCATACACCTCTATGGTGGACTCCATGCAGTGCCATTCATCTCACCAACTGTGAAAAAGAGTGAATGCACTTATTTTACACATGTGCCATAAAATGCTTGTAAGGTGGTGATTAAGGACACTTATGTGAATGTTCAGTGATGTACTTACGTGGGCCATAATAATATGTGAGAAATGTTCGTTTTCTTGGAACTTGAAGTTAAGATTTTTGATAAGCTTTAGGTATTGAAATGTCATACGTGTACAAAAGTATAGCTTAATTCAACTGATGAGGGCTATGTGAATAAATGTAAGCGATGTGATGCAAGTAGCTCTTGGCCACTTTCATTTTTTCAAAGTAGCTCTCAGATGAAGAAAGGTTGGAGACCCCTGGTTTAAAGGAACCCTGTATTCTGCTCAATTTCAGGTTTTCATGACGTTTCCGTGCTTTAGTGTAGGGGGGAGTGTGTGGGAGAGAAACTCGCTCTGGAGGAAACACAGGGATTTTAGCCTTTGCAGACCATTTACATGCACCCAAACCTCTATAACACACAATAAACTCATCATAATGCTGTTGATGAGTACCACAGACAGGACAGGTGTCTCCATGTCCTAGACCAGCGGTTTTCAAAATGTGAGGCGCGCCTCCCTGGGGGGGCGCCAGAGAGCTTCAGGGGAGGCGCAGCGTGAGAAAAAAATAACGAGAAAAAGATGAGTAAAGTGTCACTTGCACACTTTTGGCGGTCTGTGGAGACCGAGTTCCTCACCTCGCCAAAAAGGCTGTAAAAGTGCTCATTCCCTTCACCTCCACCCAGGGGCGGACTGGCCATCTGTGTGTTCTGGAGAATCACAGAACGGCCGGTCGTCAGCGGGTCGTCAGCAGGCCGGCTCGGTTCGCTGACAGCCGGCAGCGCCCTTAATTTTTTATGTTTTCAAACTGCATCATTTAAGTTGCGCTGACAGGCGACAGAGGTCCGTTCAGCGAGGCTCCCCCCCCCCCCGTTGACAGTTCACGAGCTGTCTGTTTGTCTCTGCAGGAGAAGTATCCCTCCGTCGTCTCTCTTCCTGCAGGCAGCGGCTCAGAGGTCATGACCCTGAATCACCCCGAGCTTCCTGGGTAAATACCTTTATATATTTATACAGGGGCCGTTTCTCAATGTCGAGTAAACCTGCTGCAGAGTCCCTATTTCAAGTATACTACATCATCGAGTGGCACCGAAGGACTGTTTAAATGCATGTTAAATGCCTAGCATTCGGCGCCACTTGATGACGTAGAATACTTGAAATAGTGGCTCTGCAGCAGGTATACTCGACATTGAGACACGGCCAGTCTGTAGTGAACACACACTCGTACTGATGGAGCAGAGTAACACAGGCATGTGACCTCTGACCTCTCCCTGTGTGTTTCTGTTGCAGCTGTGTCTTGATCCTGCATTGGTCAGTGGAGGTCTGTAGAGAGGGAGGAGTTACTCCAAAGATGGAGCTGCTGACAAAGATCCCTGAGAAAGGTGAGACCTGTCACTCGACTACAGTACAGACACAAAGCTCAACCGAAACCATGATTTAGGTTTTCTCTTAAAATTGAGACAAACAGTGAAGTCATATATACATCATCAATGTAGCAAAAGACCAGATAATCTATTAGACAATTTATGAATTGTATAAAACAGAACCGTCCGTTAATGCTTTATTTATTACTGATGCTCAGTTGTGTATTTAATGAAACTTGTTGGTCAAAATATAGTTAATTTGAGTTCTGTAAGTAGAACAAAAAACATGTAGAGAATGTGGTTTTTTAGTGGTGCTTTTTTTAAAGTCTGTAAATAAACCTTTGAAACTACCAGCATTTTCTCTGAGTGTAACAGATAAATAACAAATAAAAAAAAAAAAATCAGTAGGTTAGATGGGCATGTAGTCAACTTGAAACAGCTGTAACACTATTCAACTCGAAATTATTAAAAAAAACACTGTTTAATTAAATATCAGTTAGCAACATATTTTACAGCTCGGAAGCAGCTGATCTATTAGACCTTATTTGCTTAAAAAAAATCGAATAATTACTATAAAAATACAATTTTTTTTTTTTTTTTTCTAAATCAGATGAATCAGTAAAGCTCCTCTAGCAATTATTTGAATGTAATTGCTTTGTTTTCAAAATGACCATTCTCTATTTCTCGTCTTTATTATAATTTTTTCAAGAATTGTGACTTCAAAATTGCAAAACTACTTTTAAAAGTGTTGGCAAAACATTAAATGCAAACTTTTTATGACATCACGTCAAACTAACTATTTTTCTCCCCCTGCGTCTCTCTTCAGCCCTGAAGCTGTTTCCCTCTCAGGCGGTAGGGGGCGCTGCGGAGGCCTTCCAGAGCCTGCTGAGGGTTCTGGGATTCGAAGCCGCCATAGAGGCCGTCATCATGGCGGTCAGCCTTTCACCGGACACATAACTCACACCTTCACCACAATGACATCTTTCTTCTGTTATACCTACAAGAACCTTTTATATGTAAATACAAATAAGTAAACGCACACTCAGCAATGTTTTAGTCCCTTAGAAATCTTTATTCAATAGAAAGAGCTCGACAGTTGTAACAGCCAAGCTCATTGGTCAAAATCTACAAAAATAAATAATTTAAATACAAAATGCAAGACAGCCGTGGTGCCTTTGTATTTTCAAATAGTTTTTCTTCTCTCAGCTATTTACACACACACACACACACACACACACGCAGTTATTAGAAGTCTGTAAGTATCACAGTGCGGTGATGAGTCTGCAGGCGACGCTCAGGCGACGCTCAGGCAGCAGGCGGAGGCAGCCGGCCAATCACACGGCAGCTCACCTGCATCAAAAACTCTTCAGTAATCTAAGAAGGAAAATATTCTGCAATATAGCAGCTCTACGCTCTCGAGCCCCAGTTTGTGTCTGTTTGGTATCTTGGCATTGTTGTTCCTGACAGAAGAGATTTGAAGCATAGTTGAGGGTTCTGAAGCACACTTAATATGGTTGCTGAAATTGATAAGTCTATATTTATGCTACGGAAACTGAAATTATAATTACAGTTCACAAATTAAAAACCTTTTATCTCAAAGTTCTGAAACATCAAACTAAATAATTCTGACCTACCCAACCTGTCAGTCATATTTGCTAATTATTTTCTAGATTGTTTGGTCAATGTCAGAAGATGTAAACAACTATTCTGTCCCTGTTTCTCAAAACCTAAGATGTTTTTCTTGTTTTAACAAAGCAATAATATATCAGTTTAATATGATATAAAATAGGAACTCTATATTTGAGTTAGATTTTTTTGCATTAATCGATTATGAAAATGGTTGGCAATCTATAGTCGGGGACACTCTATAGTCGTTGGCTGGTAAGAGACACAAACTGTGGCTCCTTTTTCCTCACAATCACACTGACGAGATCATAACAATTATCTGTTGTGATCAGATGCTTTGGCATAAAGTTTGTATATTTGTTATACAGTTTTGAAGTTTCAAAATGAATCCAATCAAAATAGCATCAAGTTTCATTTCGAGAAACATCCCGCCCTCCTCACTCTTAACTCCCATGAGCCTCTGCGTTCCCGTCATGCTGCCTGTTGCGTCTTCAGTTCAACAGTTGGAACGATCAGTGGTTGGTTCAGTTCACTGCGGTCCACTCTCCAACGTAAACTCCTCCGACAACCATCGGAGGTGTCAAACAATAAGGGGTTATGTGATTGGTTAAAAATCAAAGCGTCTAGAAAAAGAAGTGTTGAAGGCAACTCTGAATGACATCCATTTTAAACCCTTTTAGTGTCTGGATTAAACTGAATTTCTGCTCCATGTCAGAGTGATGTTAAAAGGGTGGAGTGTTTTTCTTCCGTCTGAAGTTTCAGTCTTGTAGTGCGATTTGTTTCAGATGTGTGATTGGCTGATGGAGGCGTTGGAGAGTGGACCCTGTAACTAGGAACTGAAGTCAAGTGTTACCAGTTTATTTTCAAGCCTCCCTGAGCGCTGCTGGTTGGAGAGGGCGGTGACATCACCAGGAGACAAAAGACCTGAGATAATCTGAACACAAACATCAGCACTCAGCCGCTTAAGTCTCATCTCCCCGTGAAGTCATCAACACGCCCTCAGAAACCTCCCAGCGCCCCTGAACGCATCATTTTGCAAACATCAGACGACCCTGTTGAGCTTGGTTTCGGGTCGTCAGGAGTTTGAGGTACTGAGAGTCCACGGCTGCGTCCACAGCAGAACTGATCTTATGTCAGTGTGAACAAACTAACACAGATTTGTTTCGCTATGTGTGGACGCAGCCTGTAACAAAGACACACACACACACACACACACACCACCAGCACCATCCCCCCCCCACTCCAGTCCTACCAGAACATTTAGGCACATGGACGAACGCACAACAAGCCACTTATGGCACAAAAACCAGCAGAGCAGCAGCGTGAAGGAAACTGTGTTAGCCAGCAGCGTTACCGTCCTCTGCTCCACTTCCTGCTCTGCAAGCGTACGGTCACATTGCATTCGTGTTTCTGATTGGCCCGCTGTCAGCGCACAGGGCAAACGGTGAATTCTGACCGGTCAGTCTGCACCCAAATAGCACATTTGTGGTTATCATTTCTGCTCAAATTGTGAATAAGAGATGATGGAAATATCCGCAGCACAGAAGTGTAATGCAACCGTACCTTCGCAAAGCTACATCACCAGGTAACTAAACACAGGAGTGTTAGACAAATTACTTATTTGCTGGGTTTTTTTCCAACAAAGAGTTAAAAAATAATGTGCTTTTTCTCAAACACAAAAAGAGGTTTAAAGTCAAAGCGGATCAAAACGGCAGCTGGACACAAACATCTTCGTTTGAAGAACAGTACAAGAGCTGGGAGGTCAGAGGTCAGTTTACCCAAATGAATTCAATATGTACACTCAAATAAAAGACTACAGCTAATGATTGTTACCATTATCTATTAATCTGCCAAATTTGGTCTCTATAAAAGGTGAGAAAATGGTGAGAAATATCCAACTTTCTTAAAATGTGAAGGTGATCTCTTTAAATGCCATGTTTTTCAGGGAAAAGTTTGAAATATATTCACTTAAATATAAACCAGAAAATCACCACGTGATCGGCTCTTACTGCATTTTGGATGTAAAAAACGAATTTACCAACGAATGTATCAATCAAACTTATCATTGCAGCTCTCATGAAAAATACAGCCGTTTAACCTCAAAGAATAACCATTAGGTTTCATAAAAGTATAATGTATAACAGGGCTGATATAGCTGTATATCGTACAGGTGTACCTTATAAAGAGTGTTTTCTCTCTTCTCTCCATGCAGAGTGTTTTTTTATTTGTCCAGGTTCAAATATGAGATTAAGATTTCGGCCTTCACCACAAAACGAAACTGTGTTCTAGTTTTATTCAAACTATTTTCCTTCGGATTAATCATGTTAGTGTGTCAAAACTGTCTCCAGTATCATCCCTAAGATTATCAATGACACTGATTAAGTGATTCATAAAAAGCTGTGAGAATCATAATCTTCATTCTTTTGCAGTAAAGGGGGAAATCTCCTGGACAAATACAACTAAAACTGATTTCACCCAAGTTGTGATTACATTTGGGTGAACTGACCCTTTAATGACACTCAACTCCCAAAACATTGCGGCACAAATGCGTGATTAAAGAACATATTAGCTAGCCGCCAACAAAAGGAGTCAAAGGAAAACAACAAACATGGAGGTGACGCTCCTCCTCCCACCGGCTTCATGAAGGTTTCAATACAGCCAGTTAATGCATCACCTCTCCAATAAAAAGGGGGGTCGGAGAGAGGAGTTTGACTGAAAACTTTTATGGAGTCCAGCTCAGGACTGAAACCTCTTAGCCGCTTCCTCTGTGGCTGTAGCCATGGTAACCAGTGCTTCTGTTACCATGGAGCAACAGTAATGAATCTGAAAACCAGGAAGTGAGTTGCTGGTTCCCTCATCTTAAAGTCAATGGATTTGATGAATAGGTTTAGGTCTGATGCCCAAAATAAGGTCTGTGGTTAAGAGTTTAAGAGATTTACACTTTTTGTTCATCAACATTGGATGTGTAAATGAATACTTCACTGGTGAGTATCTGCGATTTTACCCGTCCTATAAAAAAAAAAAAGCGGTTGCTAAAAAGTGGCTCAATGGGACTAGAGATGGTGTTTGTACTTGATTTATCACACCAAGGGTTAAGGCTTGTGTTAAAACGGTAAACGTCTGCCGATTGCATTTTTCTTTAAGAATTCATAAATTGGTGCACATTTGTGAAGGTTATCCTGCTGAACTTAACATTTTTAACCACATAGCTTATTTTGTGCAATAATATAAAAAAAGCCAATGGAAACATCCTATTGGCCTTTTGACGAGGGAACCATGCAATTGTTAACTTCTGGGTTGGCCTAAAAAAATACGTCATCCCTGCAGCACTTTGTGATGCTACAGTTCAACCTGGACATTCATATTGGCTCTGCCTCTACCAGAGGCCCCGCCTACATTCAGGAAATGACATCATACGTACGTCAACTACCTGATTTGCTCTCCATCGCTTTAACTCTCCTCTTCTTTCTCTCTCAGAGTGTTGCCATGGGGAACGTAAACTATCATGTTGTTCTCATGACAACTGTAAAAGCGCTGTCAGGAGGCTGATCCGAACCCTTTGTCACCAAAGCGGAAAAAACGAAGCCCCCTGTAAGTTTTCTAATAAATATGAATCATGACAGAACAGAGACATTTCAGATTCCCCTCCTGACAGGATCCAGAAGTTTCTGGAGAAAAAAACTCCAGAATCAGTAACAGAAATATCCGGAAGTCGCTTAAACTGTTTGGCGAGTTAGTGGTGACTTCCTGGAGATTACAATGTTGCTTAACATGAGCTGAGTAAAGAGAAAGTGTTGCAGTAAAGTTTTCCAGATAAACAGCTGTGGTCTAAAGTGATTTCAGACCTCTGCATCAACATGGCGTCTCCGTGTGAAGCAGCAGCGTCAGTTAGTCTTCAGGGTCGTCTGTCTTTTATCGGGCGTTCACACGGGGTGGAAGAGCAGCGTGCAGTCCTCCCTCTCTGCAGCAGTGAAGATGCCAGAGTGCGAGGGCAGAGCGCCCTTTGGCAAGGCACAGCTACTCCTCAGGTAGCAGGAGACGATATTCTGGTCCAGGCGCAGCTGGCGGGGGATGTTGTCGAACGGCTTGGGGTCCAGATCCAAGATGGAGACGGCGTAAGAGAAGGCGGGAGGTCTGGAGGAGAGGAAGTCCCTGTGCTGCCTCTGACCGGGGAGACTGGAGGAAAACACAGGAAGTTATGTTTCAGTTGAAATATGCTGAGGTCTGGCGCACCCTGCTGGACTCCATCAGGTACTACACACCGATTCAGAAAAACAGTACAATCCTACTTTTTAATTTAACTTTAGTAATATATCTGAATACTTCTTCAATCCCTGTGGCAGAAGAGGACAGCAGCCAACATGATGTAAATCATACTTTGGTGAGAAACTCTGAATGTAAACAGAAACTATCCGTTTACAACTTCAGAGGGCAACTTTAAGACCCCATTAGCACGGGAACGTTTGCAAAAAAAGTCTTCCATTCACACACATTCGATTCATTTAACGTGTCCGTTCACACGACACCGCTGGAAACGCTGTAGTACATATGCCGGGCCTGTAAGTGGCGCTGCTGCCACCACAAAATACACCAAAAGCAGCGAAGAAGACCCCGGAGCATGGTTGCCATGGTTGCCCTTCTGTTTATTCTCCGCGGTGGACGGCGTGTTCTCCTGCTGTATATCTCTCCGGTAGCCCACCAGCAGATGAAAAACACCCACCTCTCTGCCTCTTCCAAGGGACGAGGGAACCGTGCGGCAGAGTTTCAGTTAACATTCGTTTCCGCCGGTCAACATGTCCGTTAAAGTTTAAATCTTCCGTACAAAATTAGAAAAGTGCCAGTCAGAGGTCTTCTTTGTTATTTATTGAGCTTTAAAACAAATTGATAACGATATAATAATATAAGAATAATAAACGGAGCCTCTCTTTTCCTCCCCCTCTTCTTACAGCCCAGCAGCTGATCTCTGAGCAGGAGACGTGGGGAGAGGGAGACGTGGGGAGAGGGAGACGTGGGGAGAGGGAGACGTGGGGAGAGGGAGACGTGGGGAGAGGGAGACGTGGGGAGAGGGAGACGTGGGGAGAGGGAGACGTGGGGAGAGGGAGAGGGAGACGTGGGGAGAGGGAGACTGGGGGAGAGGGAGGCGGGGCTATTTCCTCGTTATCAGAAAATGATCGTATAGAGGCGATTACACGGAGCCGTTTGACCCCCCCCCAGAGCGTTCCGTTTGCAGATCTATCCACCTTGGGACCCGTTATCGTTTGCGGGGTCCGTTTCTATCGTTTTGTTACGGCCTCGTGTGAATGAAAGGGCTATATGCAAGAGAAACTATGCGGATACAACCCGTTTCGTCCTCGTGTAAACGGGGTCCAAGTCAGCTGAGGTTATCTGTGAAAATCTGTCTAGTTCTCACGAGTCCCCTGACAGTTAATGACACTCTCCAAGTGATCAACAGAGCTCAACCCTTACCCTTCATCTTCCTCTTCTTCCTCACAGCTGGGCACCAGGGCAACCATGATTTGGCTGTCCTTGGCTGTCATGGCAACTCGGTACTGATGAACCTGAAGTGAAAACACAGGACAGGTAAACACACACTCTTGTTAGACCAGTGGGTGTTCAGCAGGAAAACTGCCCCATTCAGAAACAGATTCACAAAGTTGCCGTTAATGAGTCAGCAAAATGCTTCAGCTGTCTCTGCATGTCATCCTTAATTGGTGACGCTATTAGTGAGAAAGGTCTCACTCTTTAATAAACAGTATTTTCTGACTTGGAACTGCAATATCATTACTGAGCGAAAGGGTTTCTTTTCAGTGACATTCTCCCTCTGCTGAAAACACAAAGGTCAAATCAGAATCAGGCTTGCATGATGACAACATTCTTGCAACACTGAAGCGTCTGGTCAAAGGTAAGACAACAAAGATAAAACCCTTACACATGTAGTACATTGGTTTAACGTAGTGAAGAAGTAGTTTGTAATTGTCACCACCCTCATACTTATGCGTGCACCTTTTTGAAAAATAAGCGTGAAGCATAAAAACACTTACATTTGTTGCACGAAACGTTTAAGTTTGAATTGTTTTTCTATTTCAAAAAAGTGTTATGTACTGTTGATTAAACCAGTGACTAATGCTCCAGCTGACTTTGGGAGAAATGCTCCACATGGAAAGCTGGACTTTCACTGAGAACCTGATCAAGGTTCAGCTCTCCGCCTCACCTTGGAGACGGCGTACTCCAGAGAGCCGTCGTCCTCACTGGGACATTTATGCAGCTTCTCCAGGAAGGCCTCGTTGTACGGCCCGTCCATCTGAAGACGAGTTCTGAGCAGAGACAGAAAGAAGGTGAGGCAAGACACCAGACGGGTATCTGAATAGACACTGTAACTATGGCTTTCTTAGTGCATTACCTCTCCTTGGGGAAGTCCTGCAGGTGCTGCTCCACGCGGCGGTACAGAGGGTAAAGACCTTCGATGTCCAAAGTGTCCAACATCTGCGTCTGACGAACTCTGTACAAAACACTGTCGCTGGGTGAACCCTGAGAGCCTGAGAACAACACGGACAGAGAGAGGTCATCTTTTAGCTCTCATCCACTTCTTCAGGTCAGATTTATTAGATTCAGATGTTATGGGCAAAATGTTTGTGTTTAAAAAGGAACAAGTGCTTCTTTCATAGCTCAAACACTTCGGAGGGAGGCTGCTGCACAAGAAAAACCTTTGTAAGAGAGGAGAGGCACAAATCTGTTAGACTGGACCAGAGGTACAATTTATACCAGAAACAGAGATATCGTGCAAAACTTGCTCATACAAACTCTTTTTATTTTTCAATTGTGTTAAAAATGTTCACTTATTGATTTATGTCAGGGAGTGTTTCAATCTGTTTAAATGTTTCTAGTGAAGAGAAAAAAAGAGAAGCAGGAACATTTTATAACAATGTAAAAAAAAAAAAAAGGCAGATTATTTTCTAAATGAATTGATTTGTCAATAAAGAAAATAGTGAATGGGTGCAAGGTCACGTATTTTCAGTCAAATCATTTTTAACCACAAGAAAAGAAAAACATAAGAAATAGTCAGTTTACGAGGCAAAGAAGTAAAAGTTGGAACCAGAAAATATAATAATGTATAATAAATTACTTGAAAGCGTTTAATAATATTTCAAAACAGTCCGATAATTTTCTGTAGCTCTAATAAGGATAATAAATAAATTAGTGCCGATAATGTTTGATCCAACAGTGCACATTGTGTGCTAGTAGAAGACATGTATTCAGCCTACAGACCCTTTGAGCTGTAGCCGGTCTAAACTGTTTAAAGACAGAAACCAGCAGCAGGTTCTCACCGTGGCGAGTCCTCTCCTTGTTGAACAGACTCGCTTCACAGATGCTCCGTCCTTCTCCTCGTCTGTCCGTCCCCACGCCTCCATCTCCTCCTCCAGCACTCAGCAGGGCGTTCACCACGACCTGAAGGAAGAGAGAGAGCCCTGTGAGTGTCTGACGGTAGAGACTTCACTCAGTCAAAGACTGTTAGGGCAGTCGTACAGATCAGTCTCTAGAGCTGGGGGCCCATGTACTGGGGCTCGGCCCCCACGCAAAGGACCTGGGATCGATTCCACCCTTGGACCATTTCTGAATCGTCATTCCCTCCGTCGCATCCTTCCAACACTTTCACTTGATAAAGGCAGAGGTTGCCCGAAAAATTATTTAAAAAATGAATAAGACTGGACAAAGGAAGTCCACTTCTAACATCTATACTTTGGTGAAAGGTTCTTATTTTAAGCGGAAGGCCTGCGTGATAAGCTAAGTGGCAGGACATCTCTAAGCGGTTGACCAATCACAACAGAGCCGGCCAGCTAACCAATCAGAGCAGACTGGGCTCTGGTTTCAGACAGAGGGTGAAAAGAGGTGCTGCAGCACAGGCAGTATGAGAAAAATAAAGAGCTTTTTGAACATTAAAGAATGGAGACATGTCACAGAATACAAATATGAACCTGAAAATGAGCAGAATATATGTGTGTGTGTGTTGGTGATACCTGGATGAAGTCGGTCAGGAGAGCTTTGCTGGTCATGTGACTGTTGATTCGGTTGTTTCCGTACTGGAAGTACGGTCTGAGATGATGCAGCAGAGAGTTCAGGTCCATCGAGTCTTCAATGCCATCCATACTGCTGAATATACACCGACCCCCCTGACAAACACACACACACACACACTTCTCAGAATATTTGTCACAGCTTTGCTTCAAAGACAAAACAGATTATCTTAGTAGTTACATTTTCAGCATCTTGAAAAAGGTCACACCAGTTTACTCCTGAGGCTGGCCACAGGAAGGAGTTACATTTCTGTAAATATTTGTATACTAGAAATAGTGCTGGAAAAAGAGCTGCGACTAATGCAGCCCTAATGATGTTCCACTCAGGAGCCCCTGCTTAATGAAGTGTGATACCGAATGGTGGGACTTATTACAATCACTATTATTTATTTCTTAAACCAGTCCAACCCTGGTTGTTGTTGTGTCTCACCTTGAAGATTTTCAAGTTGTTCTGAGGTTCGTCTATCAGTTGTCTGATGGCAAAGTGCATTCTCTGTCTGTTCCTGAACAACACGAGAGAAACCAGAGAACATCAAGTTTAGCTGCAAAACACTGATGATGGGTTATTGTTAAATACAGTTTATGACAGTATTACTGATCATATTGTAAGTGCAGTAGTGTTGGCCATCTCACCCTGAGAACAGATCAAGAGGACAGTACCGACTGCGTCTCTTCCACGTCCCCATGGCCACCTGGAGAGAGAGAGGATACAAAGTGACAAAGGGAGAAATATTAGGAGTGATAGAAGTATTAGAAACAGCAACAAAGTGTGTGGCCCTGTACTCTTTTGGCCCAGATCGACATCCACATCCTCAATCTTGGGCATCCAATCAACAGTTTTATATCTAATTATTGATTAAATAGGGGACATTGAACTGAAGCAGCTGTCGAACATAACATATGGCACAGCTTATTTTCATAAGCTAATCGATCCCAAAATTGAAATTCCAGATTCAAAACTATTCGGTCTATACGTTTAAATTGTTGATATGATTTAAGGAAAGTTAGGCTGAAGTTTGCGACTAAAGACAACAATGTATGACTGTTTGAGTTGTAACAGAAACACTCAGTCCACTCTGAGTTACAGACGGCATTGTTCCCCAGGGTTGGCTGTTTTGAGGGGGCGGAGAGACCTGTTGGTCGAGCTGGGCTAGTCACCACTATTAGCTAATAGTGCTATATGCCATTGTCATTTGACACTGCTTAAATTAGCCTAGAAGGAACACCACCGTTGAATTTCACACTTGCGCCCAGGATGATAGTAAGAGAGAAGATAAACACAATTTACACTACTACATATTGAGTAGATTGATATATTAGAGAGTATTCTAATTTATTCTGTATATTTTATAATGTGTATATACTCCTCTGAATATATGTATTTTCTACTGAGAACATGTATGGATATTGTTTGTTGTTTGTTTTTTTTGTTTGTTTTTTTTAAATTGTAATTCTTCTACATCTACTGTCATAATGCTGCTGTGACAAAACAATTTCCCAGCATTGGATAAATAAAGTATATATATATCTATCCAAGTAGAGAGAGCTACAACTGGTAGGCTTTGAATGGCTTCTCTCTCTGCCCTCTACCGCACCATAAGGGAAACGCAGAGAGAAAACCGTGTGACGGTTAATGACATCAAACGCAGTAAAGACCAAAATTGGTTAAATAATATATGTTATTCCTTTCAGTAAGGACCAATGGTAATGGTAGGAGTAAAACACTGAGGTGAAGGGTCTTTCCTCCTTAACAATCTTTGACCAATTACAACTGCCGCAGGAAGAACACAGACAAGTGTACTTCAGTCGGTCGCCAACTAACTGACAGATTTTATGTTGGCAGCTGAAATGAAATGCCTCCGACGATGTTTGTGAAAGTGACTTTCAGCAACCATTAAAAATGAGGAGGTGCTGCGCTGTAGTGTGTGTCGTTGTACTGTAACACAGCTGTAGTTACCTTGTAGTGTTGGTGCATGCAGAAGCGGCACACTTTGGTCTTGATATCTTGGCTGACATGTTTGGAGTACGGCAGGAAACCACATTTAGGCTAAAAACAAACACAAAAACAGCAGCTGAGTAGCACATACACACTAGTCACACTCATGGAATATGTTCTGTTTTTAATGAGTTTGTCTGAGTGAGAATTATGTATAGGGTAAATATCTGAAGAGGTGGTTGCTTTTAAGCAGGGGGAACATTATGTTTAACAAGAGCCTCAGCTTGATTGAGTGATACAACTGAAATCAGGCTAAAAAAAACAATATTATTTAACATTTAATTGAATAAACTTTGTTTTTGTGTATACTTCTTTTTTTCATGATTTGTTTGAATTTTGTTTTCTTCTTTTATGAAACACTACAGTGCCAATATTAAAGAAAGGGAGAAAAAAAATGGCATGCCTTCAAACAAGAAATAGGTAGGTGTGGGTGTGTGTGTGTGTGTGTGTGTGTGTGTGTGTGTGTACCTTGATCTCGATGCAGAGTGTAGGAGTGTGTGTTGGCTGGTGGAGGGTTGGAGAGGTCAGGTTGGGCAGACAGAGGGCACAGCCGCTGTAGATGTCCATCACCTTATCACAGCGCCACGCTGACACACAAAGAGAGGCATGTTGTGTAAGTAAACCTGAATGTCTTTGTATTCACCAGAGATGCACTGTGTAAATATGAGAGTGGTATATTCCTTTAACATATTTCAATACCAGTTGCCATAGAAATATGAATACAAATGTTTGTACCTGGTCTTTGATGTTGAACTTTGATTGACAGCTGTCGAACAAACTCTAGTGGCAGTTTGACCACTTCCTGTAAAGAAATGAGCACAATCCCTTTTATTACTAAAAGTTATTATAATGTTAAAGTTTATGATCTCGGTTCCGTTTTCTTCTGTAGAAAAACCAGTGATTTGTTGGCAGTGGCTCTGTACAATATTTCCCACAAATTAATAGAAATCGTGTTGACAGTGCAATTTTAACAGACAAATAAATGGAGCTGTTGAACATTCATCGTGTAATTCAATCTAAAATCAAGCACCAGCTGACCCAGGGAATGTTGTTCATGTGCTTAAAGCCTCCGGACATCCACACTGTAACTTATTGTTGTAAAATGTCTGCTGCTAGAAGTCAGTCTGGTTTATCGCCCAACTCTCATGGGAGCATTTATTCCAAAAGGGAATAATACTGTTCAGAATGCCTTGTTATAATGCTGCTGTAATAAAACCATTTCACATCAATAAATCTAATCAATTTTACTGGAAATGTTCAACTGCCCCACAATGCATTGCGTCTTTTCAGACAGCGAGATATTCACAGATTTAAACCTGGTTTAAAATCTCCAGTATTGCACATTTATTACATTTGTATGGAGTCTGTCTTAGCAAAAGTTTGGACATTTGCTGAAAGATGTCATTCTTCAGTCTGCAGTAGGTTAGTATTGGATTCTGAACAGTGTCATACCCCGCTGTGGACGAACTTCTCTCCCAGCAGGCAGCTCATCACGTTGGAGCTGAAGTCAACAATGTTCTGCACCTGCCTGAAGGCCTGCTCCACCGTCTGCAGGAAAACACACCGGCGGGTAAATTACAAGTTAGAACCGGTTCTGAGACTTGTTGTCAGGGCAGTTATTTGACATCTCTGGGGCACTATGAGGATCAGGAGGTCACCTCACTTATCATCCGTTTTCACAAACATGTGATTGTGGATGACCAGCCGCACAGAGCTGATCACTATTGGACTCTGTTCTCTCTTACATTGTGGAAGTCGTCTGAGCTCTGGGACAATGCTGCAATTCTTTCATTTATTCAAATTGTTCAGCTCATCGCCTCAATGAAATAGGTCATGTTTGTTTGTTTGTTTGGGTTGTTTTTTAGCAGGATTGGGGGGAAACTGGTGGAAGGGTGTAGCATGGTCCCATGAAGAACTCATTTCCTTTCTAGACTGGATCCTGATCACAGGCTTGATACATCATGTTGTACTTATTTAAACTGTATTGGCAGATGCAGAGGATTAAAAAAGTACTCGGATCCTTTACTTAAGTTAAAGTAGCAATACTATGGTCTTAAAATACTCCAATACAAGTAAAAGTCCTGAAACAAAATGTTTATAAAGTAAAAAGGTGCAGAAGTATTATGTAGAGCGGAACTTTTCAGTTATATGTTATTATATTATCCTGTTTCATCACTAACAAATACATGCAAGAGCATTTCAATTGTGTTGTTTTGACAATGTTGGGTACTTCAAATCAACCCAGTGTTTCACGAAGTCAAGTACTGCATCATATAAGATTATCAAAGTGTTTTTATAAATGTGAAATAAATAAATTAGATTAAAAGTTGGATATTTGCCTCTGAAAGTTGTAGGGTTATAAAGTAGCATAAAATGTAAACAAAAGTACAAAATGTCCAAATAGCACTCAAGTATACATTTTATATATACACATATTTCGTCCATACTGAAATCATGAATAAATAAAGAGGTTAGGTAGTTCACTGGTTTGTAAAACTGACCAGGCCTTTTTTTTTTTTTTTTTTTTCTCAGAAGTAGAGCAACCCTCCAAACGTTATTTAAGGTGACTGACCTTGGGTCCCCTGAAAGGCTCTACATACATTTAAGTTAGTAGTATTATTATAGTTGCCTTGTATAAGGAGTCATAGATTAATTAAATAAACAAATACAGTTGTCCTGCTGTGTCGACACAAAAAAAAGATATGTAAAACAATCTTAAACTGCATTAGAAAATGTTGATAACTTTAGCTACTGCGAGTCCCTGTGAGGAAAGTCTATGAGCTTCGGAGCAGCTCAGCTCATTTGAATGTCAGGGTTGGGCAGGGCTCCACAGTAGTTTACATTTGGATCAGGGACTGTGCCTTTAACCTGACCAGGATGTAAGATCCTCTGCCGACAGTAAATACAACTGGCTCTAAAATGTACTGAAAGGCTAAATCACTACACTAAACTAAACTTCAGTTTCGTGCTGACGGGTATTTACTGTCACCCAGGCCTCAGGACATCCAACACATGTTTCTCCTCTCAGCCATGTATCCATCAGCCCAACAGGCATTATTTTCTCAGAAAAACATGAGCTCTCACACCACAGAGTCCAGCTGACAGCTGCAATATTTACCATAAAACCAGTTTGGTGTGTGCTTTCAGGTGCAGTGTGGGATCGCCCTGTGCAGCCATGGAACATTTTTAACCGAGTTCTTTATTTGATTAAAACATTTTGGGATGTAACATTTGTCAATATTGCCCAGCCCTATGTTTTCAGCAGGATTACAGAAACACCACCGGCCCCGTTTTCATCAACTTAACAGAGCAGTTGCTGTATGATCTGATCAATCTTGGACACATTTTTATAATTTGACGGGAAATGGGAGCTCACAACGATTGGACAACCTTTAGAGACTCTATGAATCAGCCTAACATAACAACATAGTGAGGCTGGCCAGCAACAGCATCTCTGACCCCAACCATGTCCTTAATAGATAATATGAATTGTTCCCATCAAATCAGAGATACAAGGTCCGGCGATCTTATATTTGTCCTTGTTGCAAATGGAGCTGCTGTGATGCAATAAAAAGTCAGACTCGATCTGACAGTATCAGTACAGTACACTACACAAATTGGGTGTTTATTGTAAAATGTTGAAATACCAGAGGTTCACAATGCAATAAATACATTGGAATCAACAAGCACACATTCAACTTAGTGATACCCACAACTTTCTTTGGATATGCATCAAGATGTTTTTTTCCGGGCAGTAATATGGACGATGCTTTATGTTCTGAAAAGACCTGAGACACATTCTGACTTTTATTTACCTGTGGTGGGTTTTCTGAGTCCTCGGCTGGATACTTGAGCAGGCGGAGAACTATGGAAAGCTGCAAGAACAGAAGAGGAGCTTGGTTAAGATCTGAGGAAAATCCAGGAACATCTCCCAGAGATTCCTGAGGTGGGTTAAAATACTGATGCAGCGTTCCCACAGTGCAGCACAAACAGTAAGTCCAGCATAAGTCTGGACAAGTGTTTCTTTCTATGTACTTACTGTACAAACACAACACTGACTGTATATTTACGGTAACAGTACACAACAATGACTGTCTGTCAGCACATGGGTGTTTTTAAGTGAAGAAAATCCATAAACCTAGGAATATGATGACAGATCATCTTAAAAAGGGCCGTACCTATTTGAGGAAAATGACATTAAAATGTTCTATTGAAACTTTTCAAAAAACCTGTAAAAGGCTGATGTCATATGAAATGACGTAATAATCGTGTTGCTCATTACACAAAACAATAATGGATTGAAGCAGAATATTGTGTTATGTATAAGATCTTAGGCAGCTTCTGGAAATGAAATGTACAGATATATAATAACAGTATTCAAAATGTAGTCTTATTTTGATAAGTAACTGTGCAAAAAAACTGGGTTTAAGAAGAAAGACATTCACAAAAACAAAGCTGCACAATGTTCAAATGGTGACTCACATTTTAAATTCCAACATTATGAATGAATCTTTAAACTACGGTACTCGGTGCAGCTCTAATATTTCAGCAGTGAGTGTGCACCCAAAAAAACCAAATTGCTCATAGAAATCGGGTAGTGCGAGGAACCTGTTTACACCATAGTATTCACATGCCTCAGGTTGGTAACCACATTTCTAAAAGTCTCAATTATGAGTGTATTGGTGACACTTTGTGGGAAGAAGGGTGTGTCCTCACAGCTCAATTGTGTCTAAACTTTACAAACAGTCAAATGTTCAGTGGGAGCGACTAAACTAAGACTTCTATGGGCAACTTAGTTTCACTCTAATTCAGACTTTGAATTGAATTATTTTAAATTAGAGGATGTTTCTTTACACGTATTTATCTATTTCCTGTCCTTCGCTCCTGCTGTCAGTGACACTCTCCCTTAGGGTTGGGAACCGAAACTCTGTTCCAGATGAGAACCGATAAGAAAATGCCGGGTACCGGGTACCCATACAAAATACAATTTCGGTTCTGCTTAACGGTTCCTAAACGCGGTAGACCCTGTATTCCACCGGGTCCGTCTGAGCCGCGGTGACCCGGTGGAATACAGGGTAAGGGCGGACTGGCCATCTGTGTGTTCTGGAGAATCACAGAACGGCCGGTTGTCAGCGGGCCGTTGAAGGCTGGCTCGGTTTGCTGACGGCCGGCACCGCCCTTCATTTTTTTAAACGGCATCATGTAAGTTGCGCTGACAGGCGACAGAGGTCCACAGTTGCCCCGCAGCGAGGCTCCCCCCGCCCTCCCGTAGACAGTTCACGAGCTCAGTCACTTCATAACACCAAAGATTGATCGTGGTAAACGCTCTAAAGTGAGGCTCCACTACACTAAAAAAGAAAAAGACAAGGCACAGTGTAATGCCTGTCAATAGCTTGCCACAGGCATAGCTCAGTTAAAATAAAGCACAGCTATTGTGCAATACATTTGTAATGCATGTATATTTTTTACTTGTAAAAATGTCAGTTAAAGCTTAAAAGAATAAAGATATTTTTGTTATCTAAACGTTTGACCTCTTTCTTTTACAATTTTGGAATCGAAACGGGGGGTTGATAAGAACCGGAATCGATACATTTCAAACGATACCCATCCCTACCCTCCCTGTCTAAGCAGTGTGTCCCTAACCTGCTTAAAACAAGACTTAAGAGTCAAACAAATGCATCAAAAACATTTGTTAAACCAAACAAGGCAACATATTTAACAAGAAAGAGGAATTTTAATATGTAAAAGTAATAATATGTAAATAGGTAGAGCTCAAAGTAAAGACAACATGCAAGCACTAAACCGACGACTGTGAATTGCAGAACGCTTAAAACGGTTTCAGTTTTTGTTATGCAACAACTTGTAATAACTATCAATGAGATAAATTCAGAATGGGAATGTTTATAATAAGCGAACAATACCACTATGCATGCAGGTTGGTTTTTTTGTTATTGTACAAGACTTTGGTTGTTCAGTGCAAAGATTTGTAAAGATTCAATGAGTCAATATCTACAATTATTATCTAAATGACTTTAGATCCAGCTAGAAACAGAACTAAATGATGCTATAAGTATCTGATAATGTTATAAAATCAAGCAATACCCAGCAATGTTTCTGGTGCTATACTCTCATCATTGCAAAGAAACAGCTTCTCCTTATGCTATTGAAATAGCCCGTCACAGAGATGTGGTTTAGGGACCTTAGAAACACACTTAATTTAGAAGAAAAAAGAAAACACTCATATGGCCAAACTCCCACAATTTGAATTGGCTTCCTCTCACACTTTCAACCTCAAACCAGCGTATTGTATTAGCACCAACAAAGTAGAGAACTGACAAAAGGGTGGGGCTCAAATAAATACAAATCACTAACACAAAAATAATTTTGTGACAATATGTTAATAGGTTTCAAAGTAAGGTGTAGAACTGTACCGTTTAGGTATTATGACTAAAACTTTATTTCCAAGTAATCACAACCTGCGGTTAGAGGAATCAGAAAATCTTTATTCTTTTCAATGATAAGACAGAAAAAGATAGCATAGTAAACACTGCTGGGTGTTGCCTAAGTTTACAACATCAAATACTCCTAGAGTCATTTGGTTCTGTTATAGCTGAAATGAAATATATATATTAGTTATAAGATATTGATTTAGCTGGTAATAAAATACATTAAAAAAAACTCACTGAAGAATTTGATTGTTAATTATTTTCTGAACACAAGCAGCCGTACATGTAAAGTCAGTTAACAGCATCATTTATTTTTTGCCAAGCAGTAGAGAAAGATTATATTCTTGAGATATAAATCAATATACAAGTTAACTGAGCGGATTACAACACTGCTGCCGTAATGTCACACTCCTATATTAACATGTCACCGGTTGCTCAATAACAACATGACCAGACCAGTCCCGTGAATGAGGCTCTCCCACCGTCCTGTCCCTGGGTCCCCCCGACCCTGCCCGGGTCACAGCAGCGTCTGTCTGTCAGCGCAGGATTCACCCGCATGGAACTGAACTTTAAAGTCTCAGCGGTCCGCCTCAGACTAACAGCAAGTCCCGTTAGACAGAACGGACTCCCAACAGAAACTGGGAAGTTGCTAGCGGCTAAAGTAGCTCGTTAGTATCCTAACAGTTAAGACCCTTCCCAAACTAGACAGTCAGTCACTCTAACTGCACATTACTTTATAGGTCATTTATAATATTTAGTGTTTGTTTTAAGCGTTGTTGTCACTGTTTAATATTGTTTTATTAGTTAGAGTCATTTGAACTCTTGACTAGCTAGCCGGCTAAGCTAGCAAACAAGCTAATGGTAATGAGGATGGCTAAATAAAAAAAAACTGGCAGCTGACCTTTCACCCTTCACTTATAAACAGATTTTTCCAGATAGTTGCTTAAAGTTTCCATCGCCAACGACACTGAGATTAAGCACATGTAACGTTAGAAAAGTGTGTGCTGTTGAAGCTAAATGCAAACACTCCTGCTGCTTTTATCTGAACTTCGGTTAGCTTGGTGCTAGCTGCTCACCTGTACGTGTGAGACCACCAGGCTCTTGTTCCCCTCGCCGTGATACCTCCACTCGTTCTCGTCCATCTTGTCCAATTCCATCACACCAACCACGACAACTAGAGCTCCCGTTAACGGCCAGAAAGTTACACACGACTGCACGGACACATACAAGTTGTCCAACTGGCACTAGTCTGCTAGCAATAACTCTGAAGTACCACAGACTTACTTATACTGCCCGGCCCCGGCAGTTACCTACCAAAATAACACTTCCTGTTAAGACTTCGAAATAAAAGCTCTATTGAGTGGAAAGTTAAGAATCTTAAGAAGAACAATTCAGATTTCGGAAAGTAAAGTTTAAATATTTTGAGAAACATTGCATGTCTTCCTAATTAGGTAGGGGAAATATTGTATTATGAAAATAATACTATATAATAATAATCAGAACACATCCCGAGCTGATAAAGTACCACTACATATTGTAACAAGGCGTTGCACATGAATAATAATTAATAGAAAAACAGTAAATATATACATATCAACAGTGGGTAAATACATAATATGTGATATCTAATGTGTGTTTATAATACACAAATATGTTCATTACACATATCCACATAGGCCTATCTATATATTATTACTGTATACAGTATTTATTCTACTGTACAGTGTTTGGTTTTACAATCTGTTCCATGTTATTACATGTTATGTATGTCCTGCTATTTATTCGCACCGTTATTTCTCTTGCACTAGTTTATTGTACTAATTTATTTTATCATGCCTTAAAGTGGACCTATCATACTATATTTAAATGATATATATTGTAGGGCCATACCTATATAAGGTATATTTATACGTTTCTGTTTTCAAAATACCAAACAGATCATGCATTTTAGCCATGCCTCATTTCGCTCTATTTGCTGTTCTCCAGCCCTGTTTTTGCAGGGGGCTGATTCTGTGAGCTGCAGCTGACCACGCCCCCCTGCAGGAGAGGCAGTGGCGGCGCCAGGGTATGGCTGGGGTAGGCTACAGCCATACCAAGAAATGGCTTAGCCCCACCTTAGCCCCACCATGAAAAGTGATGCAAATTCAATTAAATAATAAGCGAAATGCTAAATGTTGAGAACACGGATTGCGAAAATATACGGGTCGTGTCCACAGCACACAAACTGATCCTGCTGTAACAACAAGTGCACGTTACTGATGCAATATGGTTGAGACCATTCGGGCTTATGCTATAAGAGGGGTGCAAGGAATAGTCTAAGTAGTGGGGGAGTTTTATACACTAAAGGTGTGGAAATTCTCTGGCGTTATAATATCAGCGCGGCCGCGGTCAGATCAAAATGCCTCCGAATGCAATTTGAATAGACCTACAGCCAATCAGAGCAACGAAACGTTGGGTCTGCGTCATGCCTTACTGATTGAGATCAATCGAAACCGCCATTCAGTATCCCCATTGGATCTTCAACGTGTACTATCATACATCACGTTCACAGTGATCCCTTTTTATTTACAACAAGACAAATGTGCCGTTTTATTTCATACAGTTCCATTTTGATTGAGACAGGGAAATAATCTAAACCTCACGCGTGGCGTTTCACTGTCAAGGGGGGCGATATAGCGTGTATGTAATTACATTGCAAATACTGACTTGAGCACCACCACTGTATGGGTTAGCCCTACCATAGATTACCCAACAAAAATGCTCTGGCGCCGCCACTGAGGAGAGGGGAGCCGCTCTGATCAAGTCAGAAGAGGGGGAGAAAAATAGATCTCCGTCCTCCGTGTTTTATTATAGCCTATTATTATATAGAGTCGTTATTCATTTGTTTTAAAGCTCAATAAATAACAAAGAAGACCTTTGACCAGCACTTTTCAAATTTTGTCCGGAAAATTTAAACTTTAACGGACATCTTGACCGGCGAAAGAAAACCTAACTGAAACTCTGCCGCACGGTCCCCTCGTTCCTTGGAAGAGGCGGAGAGGTGGGTGTTTGTCATCTGCTGGTGGACTAACCGGAGAGAATTACAGTGCTTGCCTCGACGGGGAGGGATTGCATTGAATTAAAGCAGCAGGAGCAAACGCTTGCCTCGTGGAGGGAGAAAAAAAGCCACAGCGGAGAATAAACAGAAGGGTAACCATGGTAACCATGGTAACCATGCGCGGGAAGTCTTCTTCGCTGCTTTTGTGGCAGACTACAGCGCCACTTACAGGCCTGGCATATGTACTACAGCGTCTCCAGCGCTTTCGAGCGGCAATGGCCGGCCGTGGCCCAACCCCACATTCCCCTGATAGGTGGAGAGTTGGCCCAATAGCCGTAGCACCACCGTCCTGATGTCAGGACAGTGTTCAAATCTGGATCAGTTTTTATCAGATCCGTTGCAGCCCCTTTTTTAGAGATTTGGGTATGGAGGAAAATAGAGAGGGTTGTGTTTTCTGACACTTGGTGAGTTCCCTGGAACACCGGGGACACATATTCATGTATAAAAGACGTACAAAAGTGCATTTTGCATAATAGGTCCCCTTTAACTTTTGTCCAGTTTCTGAACAGATATGAGGAGCTGTGAGCTCTGTGTGCTAACTGCTAACAGCTAACGGCTGATGTTTTCTGGTTGAACGTCAGTGACGGCAGGCTGAGATCCTCACCGCTGATTGGCTTCCGCGAGAACGCGTCACGTGAATTTGACGCGGCACCGTTCAATTGCCTCAATTGCGTGATTCGCGCCGCGTCCACCGCTTCATGCGCGCCGTCGGAGCGAATTCGCGTCTGTCCGCGTCTCTGCATTGACTTTACATGTAATCGCGCCGCCCCCAAACATCGCATTGCGTCCGGTGTGAACGCACCATAAGGCGGGGCTTCTCATGTGATGCACACCTGCACACTTGCTAGCCTGTTCCACTCTTTGGGTGTTTCTCAATCGCGAGTACGCTTGCTTGGTAGCACATGTCTGCCGAGCATCTTGCTTCAGAAGCGAGTCAAGAATACTTCCTGCCATTCGGAAAACGAAGTGTGGAACACGCTAGCAAGTGTGCAGGTGTGCGTCATATGAGAGGCCCCGCCTTACATCTTCCGCCACAGATTTGGGGAAATTGGTCCGTGCGCAAAGCATTGTGGGGATTTTAAGACCGCGAAGTCTACTCATGTGCAGACTCGATATTTCTCCAAACGGAGTACGCCGGGCTCGGTAGATTTCCAAGTATGCTGGAGATTGGAACAGTACTTCGGCGGCACTCGATGACGTAGTATGCTTGAAATAGTGGCTCTGAAGCAGCTTTACTCGCGATTGAGAAACACCCAAAGTTTTCCGAATGCCAGGAAGTATTCTTGCCTCGCTTCTGAAGCAAGACGCTCGGAAGACATGTGCTACCAAGCAAGCGTACTCGAGATTGAGAAACACCCACAATCTTACTCAAGCTGGTTTCTCACTCCCTGTTATAGTAGTTCACTGAAGCCCCGCCTACTCCACTGTGATTGGTCAGTGTTGACAGTTGGAAAATATGACAGGCATGCCGTAAGAGGATCCAGAAGTGGAAACGTACAGTAGATCATATGAGTAATGATGATGGTATTTTAATCACAGAAGAATTTCTCACCCAGCAACCACGAAAATGACAATTTAGTGTATATCTGTTATTGTATAGAAACTATATTTTGAGAAAAAGCTTAATTTCTCAAACCACCTGTAAGTATTGGCGTAAAATAAGTAGACTAAGCTAGATGTATTTCCCAAATACTTTAACCTTCCTAAGTAAAAGTTCAAGGTCTCCTACATGTACTTTACTCCATTATTATATGCTACTTTTACATGTACTCCACTTTACTTTAAAGTTCAGCAGTTTTTAATGTAGTATCTACATTTATTTGTCAGCTTTGAAAGCTATTGTTAAGACTTTCATACTAAACATATGATGAGCTTATAACATATGATGCATTGTTGAACACAGAACTTCCTAACAGCATAAAGAATAGTAAAAACAAGCTCCACTTGTCTAAATTGCAAACATTTACTAGGGACAGTTCACCCCAAAATCAAAAATGCATATCTTACCTGTAACACAAGTGTTTGTGTTTTTTTGGTTTAAGATCCCTTTGAATATGTTTTGCAAATATTTGTCCAGCTCTCTGAAATCTGTCAGGCTCTACAGCTGGGTTAAGGCTTGCACAGAGAACCACACCGCAGCAAATTATTTACAAATCAAAATGTTTTAATACGTATAAAAACAACAAGAAAGATGACACACACACTATCAGGACGCACGTGATCTATACATGATGAACCCTACATAGACAGAGGACATTTCACTGTGACTCCACTGCTTCACGCTCTCTTTGTCGGCTCCTGTCAAGAGATCTGGGCTCAGGAGTTTTTCTGTGAAGTGAGCCCTGGTTTGGAGCGAAAACAGTCTGCATGTCAAACTGCTCGCTCACAGTCTGTTTTATGACATCAGGCTTTGTCTCTTTGTTTGAGTCTGTTGGTGGCTGCTTCACTAACAGTGATCAGTCCATCCCTCCAATATCGTGTTGTTTGTACGACTGTGAGAGCAGACTCCCTGCAGAAGGAAAAAATACCGTCAGACAGACAAACATGACAATAAGACACTGTTTACACAATATTCTACTTAGCTGTCCAACTGTGAACTCTAAAAGAAAATACAAATAATGATCAAATATATTCAAATTATTAGCCATATACCGAAAATAAAGGCCAGTTAGAAATGTCGGAAGAAGGGAGGAATTTGTTGTAGCCTAATAAATAAATTAACCAAAATGTTTCATTCCATTAGTACAATAACAGATGAATGTCATACTTAACACTCGGCTGAAACATCTTTTTAAACTAATTCTGTTTGCATCAGTTAAATGTTTGTTGTTTGTTTTTCATGTATTGTGTCTTGACATTTGTCTATGTTGATGTTACACATGGAGCTGCTGTGATGCAAGTCAAATTTCAGACTTGATCTGACCAATAAAGTATTATCGTATCGTATATATATATAAATATAACTTAACAATTCCTGCAGTTGAATGCTTTCAATGTGAAATATCTGTGAAGGAAGAGTTGTTTTATCGATAACAGAATAACAGTGAAAGAAAGAAAGGCAGATAAGTTAGAGAAGAGTAAAAGGATCATTTGAGTGAAGGAAAATAAAAAACATCTGCCATAGTGTTATAACTAAGTCCTTTTGAATTCTTCTTGACCTTATGTTTTTTATTGAGGTCAAGAAAAAGTGCTTAGGAAAATACATAGGACGTTATTTTGACGATTTGCACGCAGCACAAAACCTGTGCTCACTGATCTGGCAACCTGAGACACAGTGAAGAAACACAGTGAAGAGATCCAACACTAAACTCACCCTAGATCTTTCCTTTTTTACATTTAAAAAAATAATCTGATTTAAAAGAAAATTGAACTATTTCTTATATAATCTAATCATAAGATTAGGTTTCATAGTTTTTTTGCTTGTTTAAATTTCTCAGTAAGGGGTTACATAAAAAATGAAAGACTAATTTTAGAGGAAATAAAATCTAATTTGTGATTATTAAATATAATAATATAATTGATTTATATGTATTTCTTCATTGGATACTGAGAAACACAAGTGTGCTCAATATGGATGTGATATGGTATTATTTTATATAGCGGTTGGAAACCAGATTTTTTGATGAAAGTTTCAAGTAAAACTGTTGCCTCACATCTCTGACACACACACAGAAACAGGAAAGACCTGAGCAGCGCTGCTATAGACACACGTCGATGTCACATGACAAGCCCGGGGAGCGAGGTGGGAGCAGGAGGGTCAAAGGCCAAGCAGGAAGTAGATGTACCCCAACAAGCCGCAGCTTTAGCCACGTCAACACCCACCTGCCACTACAGTCCAACTTCACCAAAGTTTAATGATGAATTATTAGTCAGAATGCGGCTGAGGTTAGCAGAGGTTATACGGTCATAAAGCCACAGTCTGGAAGGATCTCTGAAGGTACAAGAGGAGTCACTGTAGATTAATCTAGCAGGAGAAACAGCATGTTCTAATCATACAGCTGTTCAGCCTATAAGTGGAAAACTGGCAGAGAAAGTCTTCAAAAATTAGAGTTGTTAGTTCTCTTATGAATTACCTGAGTTGAACAGTGCTGATATCATGACAAGGGGTTTTCAACTAATCATTTAGTTGGACCTTCCTCAGTTTGATTTAAATATTGATTTGATCTTATGTTATTCTAAAATTTAGCAATCCTAATTTAGAGTTCTGTTCGTGGAGAACTTGTTTTTAAGATGTAATTGTATTAAAGGGCCCTATTGTTCTAATTTTCAGGTTCATATTTGTATTTGGTGCCTCTGCTGTGACATGTTTACTTTAATGTTGAAACATTTCTTATTTTTCTCATACGGCCTGTGCTGCAGCACCTCTTTTCACTCTCTGTCTGAAACCAGAGCCCAGTCTGCTCTGATTGGTTAGCTGGCCGGCTCTGTTGTGATTGGTCTACAGCTTAGAGATGTCCCACCCCTTAGCCTATCATGTTAAATGTGTTGGCATTCTATCCAATAGAGGTGCAACACATGGATTTTAGCCTTTGCAGACCATTTAGATCAGTGTTTCTCAGACTTTTTCATACCAAGGACCACTTAACCAATAAAAAAACACTCGCGGACCACCTAACTCCACAAATATCCAAAAACACATCGCTTTTCTAGAACAGATTACAAATCGCCTGAAAATGGTACAAACAGGTGGCAACATGTGTGACGAAGGTGTTGCGCTGGGCTATATCATGCAATCAAAAGAAACTTAAGCTCGCTCCATTGCGGAGATATTCCTGCGAGAGTGCGGAAAACTTAAATGTATTTATTTATTTCAAATGTGAAATGTTACCAATATACTCATGGACCACTAGGGGGCGCTCTCGGACCACACTTTGAGAAGCACTGATTTAGATGAACAAAAAACTATAAAACAATACAGTAAAGGGGAAACCCCAAACAACATAATAGGGCCTCTTTAAAGTCAAAAGAATTGTAGAAATATTAGGTTTTAATGTAACTGTAGCGCCCCATGTGGATAGAAATGAGATGTTACACACCTTTGCAATGAGGCTCATTGTCTGAAGTCGAATTTAACATTAAAGAGCTACGGCCATGGATGTATAATAAGAACTGGATACAGCGTGGGAGGCGGGGCCTCATTCATTCCTATGAGAGTTGCTCATTCGCGCATGATGATAAAATGGCCCAACTTTGAGAGAGCGAAACGTCACAGATTACCCGGCATGCCTGAGAAGTACCCGTATGTGCGCTCATAGCGCATGCGCAACTTTAACCATGCCCCCCAAAATGCTCGTTCACATCAAGCACGTCAATTTGCGTACACGTAACAGCACCGCACGTTCATGACAGCATGGTAATGGTTTGTTATGATAGATTTGATATTAACGAGGCGGCAGTTAGCAGCTAGCAGTTAGCTAGTAATTATGCTAATTTACACATCAATCGTTATGTACTTTTATATTACGCTGTAACAGTATCTAGTGATATCCAAGCAACAGAGCTTCATTTAGCATGAAAGAATTATTGCACTGTGTGTATATATATATAGATATATATATATTATATATATATATATATATATATATATATATATATAATATATTATATATATATATATATATATATATATATCTATATAGATATATATATATATATATCTCTCTATATTAGATATATATTACTATATATATATATATTATATATATATATATTATATATATATATATATATATATATATGTGTATATATATATATATATATATATATATATGTGTATATATATATATACAGTGCAATAAGCTTCTTAGTGCAATAAGAAGCTACAGGGACGTTAATCTACGTCGGTAATATTAACTTTATTTAATACAACATTTACGGTACAAGATTTAATCATACAGCCCATGTAGTATAATATTTTACAAATGATGAATTACAGAAAACATGTGCAATATATCCATTATTACAGCTCCGTGGGCTGGCAGTAAGGCGATATGGGTCCGTTCTTATTGTGCATCCATGGGTAAAGATAAACGCATGTAGTGCTGAACACGTAACATGAACGTGCCGGGCAGCGCGGTCCCATGGGTTAGATGCGCGTTCATAATGCAGAGGGAAATAACTCTCAGAATAACGTTATTAGCACATTTTTACAACTTGAGGAACGAATGTTTTTAATAAGGGCTATACAAGTGTTCATACTGGGTAGTTTATTTAGTTTAAAAAAAATTATCCAACGATTTACAGACCACTCTTTCCCCATGTAAGTCAATGGGAAAAAGTGTTTCCGGGCCTGGCAACCAAAAGGAAGTGTAGTACCGCCGTTTGGCCAGCACGAATATTTTCATCTGAGTCCGGCGCACTTCCTGGGGGCTTGGCTACGGCCCATAAGGACATCAGGCCGCGCCTTCAAAAGTAACTGACTAAGGCCCAAGCCCCCAGGAAGTGCGCCGGACTCTGAGGAAAATAGTCGTTGTGGCCAAACGGCGGTACTACACTTCCGTATCAGTCGCTGGGCCCGGAAACACTTTTTCCCATTGACTTACATTGGGAAAGAGACGTCTGTAAATCGTTGGATAATTTTTTTTAAACTAAATAAACTACCCAGTATGAACATTTGTATAGCCCTTATTAAAAACATTCGGTCCTCAAGTTGTAAAATGTGCTAATAACGTTATTCTGAGAGTTATTTTCCTTGGCATTATGAACGCGGATCTAACTCACGGGACTGCGCAGCCCGGCACGTTTATGTGACGTGTTCAGTACTACATGAGTTTTACCTTTACCCATGGATGCACAATAAGAACGGATTATATGATTATATGAATACTTTCGTGACGTTTCGCTCTCTCAAAAGTTGGGCCATTTTGTCTTCATGCGCCAATGAGCAACTCTCATAGGAATGAACGAGGCCCCGCCTCCCACGCTGTATCCAGTTCTTATTATACATCCATGCTAAGGCACGTTTACACAGAGACGAAACGGGTTTGTATCCGCTACAGTTCTCTATCGTATGGACGGTTCGTCCACACAAGGCCGTAACGGAACCGCGGAAACGGAGCCCTCAAACGATAACGGCTCCCAAGGTGGGTAGATCTGCGGACGAAACGCTCTACAAAAAAATCTACAGCTCCTCTACCACAACCATCAGCAACAAGTGGACATGGAGAACTACATGAACTACATGTTGCTAAATCCACCGCGGAGAATAAACAGAAGGGCAACCAGGCAACCATGGCAACCATGCTCGGGGGGTCTTCTTTGCTGCTTTCGGTGTATTTTGCGGCGGAAGTACAGCGCCACTTACAGGCCCGGCATATGCACTACAGCGTCTCCAGCGGGTCGAGCGGTCTCGTGTGGACGGACACGTTTCTTGAGCCGATTCTGTGTGATATCGACATCGGTTCGTTTTTCGTCTCCGTGTAAACGTGGCTTAAGAAAACTAACTCATTCATTTCGTTATGGGTCATCTATAAATGTTATATATACTATTAGTTGAAGATTGGATGAAATATTCAGCTAAGAGAAGCATAATGTGTTTCTGCTAAATATTTTTCTACTTGTCTGATTACATTATATCTTCATTTTAGTATAATTTTAGTAAATCCTGATTAGCACTTCTTAAGAAGCCTGTGGAGTGTCTGTGTACAGTTTGCACTCTAATGCTCATCCATTGCAAAAGAGTATTTAGCCATAAAACTTATAGAACTCTAAGCTATAATTTGAGCATGAAACATCTGCAGTGGAAAGGCTGGCCCGGTTTTTATCACTGTAATTATACAACTTGAAGGCTGGGAATGTGCTTTCAACAGAGCATATTTTCTATATCTTAAACCAGCTACTGCAGGATGTCTATCTCAAATAAAGATAAAGAATATTCGTATTAATTATTACTTTACCACAATGAATCAGACTCTATAAATAAATGATAGTGGACTGCAAGTATCAAAAATCTATTTTATTGAGTTTCTTGTCTTTAACTCCAGTTAAAGACAAGTAACTCATATTCTCATAATTTCTTGGTTAACTATGTCACCTAAAAACATTTGTGATCCATTCATCTATTTAGACTGCACCAGATTTAATCTGATTCTGTGTTTAACTCCAGAATGTGGCTTTACAATATGTGGCACTCTGTCAACGAGCTCTGGTGGTGGGGGGGAGGGGGAGGTGTTGGGTGTAAAGGCCCTGACACACCAAGCTGATTATTGGCCGTTGCTCAAGATGTCAATGTGGTCTTACTCGTTGTTCTTATAGCATGTTTTACAACTTTTAGGTTGGCCATGTTTTTGTGCAGCCTCCATCTCCTGACATCCTTCGCTTAATCCTCCGCCGCCACTTTTAAGCATGTCGAATCTGTTGAGTAGGATCAATCCAAGGATGTCAGGAGCGGGATCAGAGTTTCCGTTACCCGGTAATTACCGGACTATGACCAGTAAAATATGCTGAAGACCGGCAAATCTAAATCTCTCCGGTCAAAATGTCCGGTCAAAATAATTTCCCCTTAGCGCAATACCGCATCAGTTGCGCCACTTATGTGACAGACAAGAAGAGTCAATACGCTACATGCACAGTCACTTCCTTTCTAATGTCTGACATTTAGGCCACGTTTACAAGGAGACGAAACGGGTTGTATCCGCTACAGTTCTCTATCGTATGGACGGTTCGTTCACACGAGGCTGTAACGGAACCGCGGAAACGGAGCCCTCAAATGGTAACGGGTCCCAAGGTGGGTCGATCTGCGGACGAAACGCTCTGGGGGGCCTAACGGCTCCGTGTGTGCGTCCTATACGATAATTTCCTGATAACGACAACGCCATAGCCCCGCCTCTCCCGCTCACCCCCACGTCATTGCTGATGTGTTTTCGCCAAAACCTCTGCTGCTCACTGCTGTAGCATGGTCAGTAGCTACTGTCAGTAGCTACTGCTAATGCTACTGCTACTGACCATGCTACAGATGTTAGTGCAAAATCTACTGCTCCTCTACCACAACCATCAGCAACAAGTGGACATGGAGAACTACATGAACTACATGTTGCTAAATACACCGCGGGGCATAAACAGAAGGGCAACCAGGCAACCATGGCAACCATGCTCGGGGGGTCTTCTTCGCTGCTTTTGGTGTATTTTGTGGCGGATGTACAGCGCCACTTACAGGCCCGGCATATGTACTACAGCATCTCCAGCGGGTCGAGCGGTCTCGTGTGGACGGACACGTTTCTTTAGCCGATACCGTGTGGACGGAAGACTTTTTTGATATCGACTAAGGTTCGTTTTCGTTATCGTATCCGTGTAAATGTGGCCTTAATGTGGAGAAAGAGATTTATCCTCCTGAAGAGGAAATTTTGATCCCTCATGTAAACAAATGCTTAATGCTGCGCTATTCTTTTGCCGCCACAAATTGGGTTATTTACATGATTTTGTTGTGCAATAAAACAACCAGAGAAGCGATCTGCAAGGAAACATAGCACACCGTGTCCTCATGCTCCTGTTTCACCTGCTTAATACAGGTATCATCACTGCTACTGTGGTCATATCGGGGACCCCTAACATTTACAATAGATGTGAAGGGGGTCATGTGTTTTGTCTGTGTTCTGGGTTCCTGCAGTTTTTTGAACAGACAGTACACACGTTCAGAGGATGAAGCTGTTAACGTGCTTCTACCATAAACTGGCTGTAGCCCACAAACTGAAATAGAATGATCAAGTTATAGTAAATAATAACAAACTCCAGTGTTATAATTCCATATTCATAAATAAAATGACACAAGCTCTTACGTTCAGTCTGGAGTTTCAATAAATTCTAAATCGTCAGTAAAGTCTACAACCATATTTCGGAGGGATATGCTACATATTAACTTTCTATTTTATGCATTTCAGTTCTTCATTAACATTCCTTAATTAACACTTCACTTTCCACTAACATACATTCACTGTCGATTGTTATTTTTTAATATTCTTTGCTGAATTTGGCCGTGTAAAATGTCCTCTTGGGTTGCCGTACAGCCAATGCGTGACGTCATTGGTAAGCGTAACGGACCCCGAACACCGGCAAAAAAAAATTCTAACGGAAACTCTGAGCGGGACATATTTATTTAGCCGTAGGCAAAATAAATCACTTTGATTGGCCGTTGAATCAGTGAAGGGGAAGAGAAACAGACGGCAGTGAGAGTGGTGTAAAAAAGTAATTCAGCAAACGCTTCTTTATTTTAACATGTGTATGTTAACTACGGCTAGACTAATACAGATTACGGCCGCCTGCTGTTAATGAGAGTCATCTCCTCTCTACCGGCACAGAGCGGACATGATGGTTGGCTGTTTGCTGTAGTCTTTGTGTTCAAGTTGAACTTTTGGGCCACAGAGGGCGACACGACAGCCTGCTCTGTTCTTTGACGCTGGTTTGTGTGTCAGGGCCTTAAGCAGTACAGGGAAGGGGGGTGGAGGGTTGCCTTGGAGACAGTCGGGGCTGGTGAGGCTTCAGTCAGGCCAGGTGAGCAGCCGTAGGGGCGGTGGCGTGCTTACCTGAGGCCAGGCCCCCCTCTGCTCTGCCCTTCATCCCTCCTCCTCCTCCTCCTCCTCCTGGGCCTGAGCTGCCCAGGGCCTCCCCAGCGAAGGAGGGCCGCTCCCCCCTGTGGGGCTTGGGCCTGAAGGGGAAGTCTTTGTCTTTACCTTTGGAGCCTTTGGGCCGGCCTGCTGTCTTCTTCTTGGACTTGCCGTCGCCCTTCACTCCCAGCAGGGGGTGCACCTCTGAGGAGAGAGAGGACAGACTCGGGGTCAAAGTTCCGATTTTCACAATAAGACAAGAGACAGACATTTTAAAATGAGGATACGTTTTGTAGAGTTCAGACGGCGCCCCGAGAAGCAATTTCCTGTATCTGTGTAACATGCATTTAACCACTGCCTGAGGGCATGCCTGTTTATAGTATAGGTCAGTCATATAGAATCTGGAAACTTGTGTTTTTTTACTTTCTAGGATCACACTGAACACAAAACAACCTGTTTCCAATTTTTTCATTTGTGGCCAGTGGAAAAATCCAAGATGGCAGACAGCATATACTGAAAAATCTAAAAATCATTACGTTTGAACTTTTTTGTTCCATAGATGTATACCTATGAGCTTATCATAGTAATAACCTAACCTTGTCAAAAACAGACAGATTCGGCCAATAACTGCTGAGATATTACGTTATGTATCAAAGCAGTGAACTGACAGATCAGAAAGTAAAAAAATACCAGGATCTATGGGCCAATAGAGTATCAGACTTGCGTTTCCCTTAAACCACGCATCCATGCCAATACAAATACAAGACCGGTCTGGACTCAGTCAAATTAATGAAGAGCGAAATTAGCTCTGGATTCAGCGATAGCATGTTTGAAAACTTAATGACCAAATTATTTATTTAACAGCTCAAATGTTTGATTTAGGGAAGCTTGATTTAGGGCAGCTTTGGCATGGCTGTTGCTCAGGAAAAAATAGGCGTCCACCAATCAGAGAGTCACTGGATTGATTTCTAGCCTCTGGAGTCAACATGTTGAAGTTTTCTTGGGGAGATAATTACTCCAAAATGCCCCTGTAGACATGTCTGCCTTATTGAAGTGTAACCCCTAATTTCCACCAGGTCCATCTGCGTCGCGTTACGGCCGCGTTACGGCCGCGTGACGGCCGCGTTACGGCCGCGTTACGGCCGCGTTACGGTTGCGCCGCAGCGTTCGCAAAGATCGCGGCCACTCTAGTCAATGGGTGCTATTCCACCACACGCGGCGCGTTACGGCTCAGAAGCGTCCCAGAAGCGTCCCAGAAGCGTCCCAGAAGCGTCTCGGCGCAGGGCTCCTCTAAAATTAGGATGAATCCTATTTTTGACGCGACGCAGCCGTAAGCTCATGTCGGGCAGGCAGGAAGTGGAACGTTCAGAGCATATATAGCCTAGCACAGTGGTTCTCAAATGGGGGTACGCGGACCCCTAGGGGTACGTTGGAGTACTGCAGGGGGTACGTGAGATTTATTTTATGTTAATGAAGAAAAAAAAACATAAGTAATGCATTTAAACAAACTACTAATAGTAGATTAACTACTTTATTCAAAAGTTTACAGTAATTCTGGATAATAAAATGGGAAAAATAAACGGGGTGCTCTCTTTTCCTCTCCCTCTCCTGACAGCCGGTCAGTCTCGTGCAGCTCGCTGAACCTGTCATAAGTGACAGTAAAGAATACATATATTTATAACTAGTTTAGCTAGTTCCAGAGTAGATAAACTAGCTACAGTAAGTGTGTTAGGTATAACTCTTAGTGTATTTTGCTCTGCTCACCGGTCCGTCACAGCGGGGGAGCTGTGATCCGGAAGAGCTGCGTGTTCTCCGTCAGCAGCAGCTGATCTGATCTCTGATCTCTCTCTCGTGTCCGGTTATACTTCACTCGCGTTTATGTCCAAATCTATCAGATCTAGCTACTTCTAGTTAATTATATGACTGCCTGCTTATCAAAGGACCTAAACAATAAGCGTTGCTTGGCAACGGCGTGTGGCCGCAAAGTATAGCGCAGCATTATGCATATGTTTATATGAGGGGTCAAAATCCCGTGCTCATAAACTGCTCATATATTTTTCTCTCTTCATTCCCCACGCTCCAAAATAAATAAATATACCAATTTTAGGAAAATAACGAAGTTTGAGCAGTGTGGGTTTTATATTAACAGTTACACATATTTCAAAACGCGAAGTGTAATAATAACTGCAGTTTGCCTCCCTGTCAGAATGACAAAGATCCTCAGTGAAGCACAAGCCCATGTTTCTCACTATATTGTAAGTACAACTTGTTAAAAAGATCAGTTCAATGCAACTAATGTCGTCTTAGTGTTATTGCATGATGTTGAAATTGGCTTGCCATGAATTTAGTGATGGATTGTAAACATTTGAAATGTAGCATTTAAGTGTTTCTCAGTTACAAGGTTGTTGTTTTAATAAATCAAACACCGATGGTGCAGCGCTATACTGTACCTCTTTATATAGTCATTTCTTCCCTAACAAATTGTTTTTGAGCTGATCAGGGGGTACTTGGCTGAATTTTCTTTTCAAAGGGGGTACATTATTGAAAAAAGTTTGAGAACCACTGGCCTAGCATATGTATATATATATATATATACATACACACACACACACACACAAACTAATTTTGCAGACCCTATCCCTCCGTAGTCTTTCAAGTAGGAGGAGAATTGCCAGCGTTCTCCTCCGGTTTACAGGCACTGTGTAAATTATATATATATATAGAATAATTATGATGATGAATGCATTTTTTTACCACTAAAATACAGCAACACATCTTTGATTCATGTCGTTTATAACTGGAATATTACAGTTATTATTAACTTTGTCTGTACAAAGTAGCCTGTCCAGGAAATATGCCCAAATCAACAAAAACTGTGAGCCGGCAGGCAAGATGCTCCGCTTCTGAAATGCTTCTGGAACGCGCCCGGTGGGTTATGACGCTAGAGGAGGCCGGACCAAAACCGCGGCGCAGCCGTAACGCGACACAGACGGACCCGGTGGAAACTAGGGGTAAGTTGCTTTGGATAAAAGAGTCAGCTAAAAGAAAATCATACGCTGATTTATAGAACAATCATTCCACTGTTTTTCCACAAATAAATGTAACTTTAACGCCCGGCTCATTTCCTTGATATAGACCTGACCCCGTTGTTGTATCTTGTTACTCATGTTGTGTTTACTCTCTCACCGTCACTGGGCACCCCCTGCAGTTCGATGGTGGTGGTGCGCGCCTTCTTCTTGGCCGGGCCTTCAGATGACGGCTGTCGCTGCTTCTTGTCGCCGGCAGCCAGCGCCTCCTCCGGGGCCCCGGTCTGAGCCGCGGACTCCGGCGGGGGGCCGAAGGGGTTTTCCTCAGGGTCCTCCACCTCAGGAGCAATGGGCAGGTACAGCAGGGCCTTATAGTCCTCCAGCTCCTCATCACTGCAGCACACAAACACACAAACTCATGAAGATCTGAACACAAGATTTTATTCTAATGCCTCTTTCTACTTCACTACATCTCAGTGTATCCAAATTATTTCTCTCCAAGTAAAATACAGGGGAAAGGGAGAAAGTAATATTTACTCCACTTTCTTTGTCTGACAACTACTTTTTACTAACAGAAAATGTTCACTGTGTGGTAATACAACTTAAACTTAAAGGTCCCCTATTATACTGTTTTTCATCAATATATTATAGGTCTCAGATATATACAAAACATGTCTCTGAAGTGTTTGGCTCCAAATACCAAACAGATCATGCATTGTAACATCCAATAATCCCCTCTGTTTCAGCCCTGTTTCAAAAGTGCTGATTCTCTGTCTGTTACTTTAGATGAAAATAAGGAACCACGCCCCTCTGAGAGATATTTGGTTAAAAATAACACAATGGGTTTTTTTCCTGAAACTTTCAGAATCTCGTTACACAGAGGGGACACATGTTTATGTATAAAAGACACGAAAAAGTGGATTTTGCATGATAGGTAAGAATGAGGATGAGATGAGGGGAGGAAACATTGTTCTCCCTGACGTAGGAACCTGTATTTCTGTTTCTCACCTGCTGCAAAAGGCAACGATGGGGTCGACAGTGGTGACATCCACCTCTTCATCCTCCGCAGCATCTGCACCTGTAACACAAAGGAGTTAATGTCCGAGGCCAACCAATAAGACCAATAAAACCAATAAGACCAATAAAACCAATAAGACCAGTAAAATCTGTAAAATCAGTAAGACCAGTGCAGCTGACAGCCAAACCGGGGCAGGTCACATTTTTAATGGGGAAAATTAAATATATAAATATTGAGATTGTGTGTGACATTGGGAATAATCAAGTGACTGCTGTTTTCAGGAAGGCACCATACAAAACTTAATTGTACTAAACATTTAGTCATTCATTTTTTGATGCAAGTCCACTGCATACTTACAACCCAGTGTTTAGTGTTTGTGTGATTTACCTGTCTGCTCAGGTTCACTCTTATCTTCGTCTTCAATGTCGAATTCAGACTCTCGCTCCTCGTACTCCACATTCTCATCCAGCTCTTTAAAGTCTGGAGCAAAAGCGCTCCAGTTTTCCTGCACACAAAACAATCAGTCACATCCATCACACCATAATACTGTAATAGTGGTGCTTAAATGTTTACCATAGTATGGAATAGGAACCAAATCAGAAACATGACAGATTGACACTGAAATATTGCCATGTTTTAGTGTCTGTTGATTGTTATGCGACTGCAGATTTTTTATGAATGGTCCTTGTTTAATAATCCATCTGTGACCATGTTCATTTTCCTTTACTGTCACTGTCTACTTACCACTTGGTTCTGAGCCCAGATGGACACCACTCCACTGGAGATGGAAGCGATAATTGGACGGACAGGATGCCACTGGACAGAGGTCAAAGGTGAGATGGGTAAATTGTCAGATTTTAAACAACATTGTGTCACAATGTTATTAAAATTCCATGGAAACATAGTTTGTCAAGGTTTATATCTCCGAACAGTGAGCCAGTTTTTGAGATCCTTACCGCCACATCCAGCAGCAGCTCTCCTCTGGTTCCATGAAGGATCTTCACCAGGTTGCCGATGCTCTTCTCCCAGATGTAGAGCGCGTGCTGCCGGGCAGAACCGGCCACGATGTACTCGCCATCGCCGGAGAAACAGCAACGCTTCCACGGAGTCCTGAATGCAGAATAAACAGATAGAGTACATAAGCAAATAGATCGGAGGAAAACACGCTAAGATTATCGAGTTAAATTAAATCAATTTCAAGGTAAAATAATACAAATCATTACATCTTAATTGTTACTATAAATGCAATTAGGAAAATTAAAGTTTACAGAATTAATTTCTACCCACAGCTATCGATGCATATTGTTACAAGAAAATAACTATTTTCGTTTTTTGTAAAGCACTTTGAATTGCCTTATGTTGATATGTGCTATATAAATAAACTTTTGTTTTTTACACCAGTTATTGTAACACCAATTGATGTCGAAATTAAGCGTTTGTTTCAAGATATATATTGAGATTCAAGTATATTCCTAACTTTAAAAATAAATAACAGCCTTCAAAATAAAAAAATAGGCCTTTTCTACATGTTGAAGACTTTGTACGAACCCTGTTATATGCAGTGAAATTCAGAATATTTGCAAGAGCTTAAAAATGTTTTTGTTCATGCATTTTTATACACATACCTGTGAAACTGGATAAAAAGTTGACCTACCTGTTGACCAGGTCCTGCAGCTTCTGCATGGGTTCAGGCTCTCCGTCACGGCCACAGGTCAGAATCTCCCTGCCGTCATACACCCTGATGATCCGGTCTGCTGTGTTTATGAGGAAGCAACTGCAGAAAACAGGACAACGAAATAAGATGTAGAATAAGGCTGGAGCCACACAAGGACGATAACGCAAATGGACCGAAATCGATATCAAAAAAGTCTTCCGTCCACACGCAATAGGCACCAGAAACGTGTCTGTTCACACAAGACCGCTCGAAAGCGCTGGAGACGCTGTAGTACATATGCCGGGCCTGTAAGTGGCGCTGTACTCCTGCCACAAAAGCAGCGAAGAAGACAGGAAGAAACAGCGCATTTTTTTAATAGAGTGGCGAAGTCCCTCCCCTTCCGGTTGAGCCCCATGGGACCTTATTTCGGAAAAGTTATGCATTGAAGTCAATGGAGAGAGAAAGATTATCTTTCGATCCCGTTTGAATTGTGCCACGAATTACACATATGATGTTTGTCAATTTAAAAGATAATTTTGCAAGTAAAAAAAAAAGAAATGTGTCGTAAAACTGTGAAGTAACACATTTGTTTGTGTGAAATGCTCAATGAACTACATCTCTGGTCAACATTACAACACACGTCACCAAGATGGCCGTCACTACTGTCTTGTCAACACAACGACCCTCACTATCACCACAATGAAACACGTCCTGAAGAATGTCATGCAAAGCTGCCTGCCTGCCTTCCTTTGATTCTCTCTGAACTGTCTGGTCGTTTTAATGTTTAATGTCAACCATTTGTGCAGATAGCATGAAGTAGAGAAGATCGCCGATGCTAACGTTAGCGTTAGCATTTCTCCCCCGGGCTTAAATGGTGTATTATAGAATGATCACACCGGTGACAGTACTCTTCAAAGGGTTCACGAAATATGACTACTACTCTTACTGTTTAACATTTTGGGTTACTTAATGTTACTTCATGTTAAGGCTAATAAAAATGACAAGGCTGTAATGCTAACTAACGTGCTAGCTACTAGCTAGGTAGCTAACTTGATCCACACACTCCTCTTTCATCAGACGGGAAGCGAAAGAACGAGCAAGACCCATTGCTGGTATAATAACAACCTGGTACTAAGCACACAGGCACAAAGTTATCTTATCTTAGCCAGCGCCATATAGATAGATTCTATCTATATGGCGCTGATCGTATATATACGGTATTATACGTGTATCGTAGTGTCTCAATTGTGACATCACTTACTCTGGGATTTGTAGTCTTTCTAGTTTCGTATTTTTCAAAGTCTTATATTTCAACAGTTTTAAGACAAACTGTGACTTTTTTGACATGGAAATGATTTTTTAAGATTGACAAACATCATATGTGTAACTCATGGCACAATTCAAACGGGATCGAAAGATAAGTTTTCTCTCCCCATTGATTTCAATGCATAATTTTTTCGAAATAAGGTCCCATACCACGGAAGTAAGTGGGAGGGACTTCGCCACTCTATAGAGATTCTTAGCTATTACCTATGTATCCCGTGAACATACTGCTATATGAATCTGTACATAAATCAATGTGGAATTAGATACACCGAGTCTTTTATTTTGTATTAGCTTTATGTGTTTTCAGAGTCTGTTTGCTAGTTTTATTATGTTGTGTTTTTACAGGAAGGTTATGTTTTTTATGTATTTATTTTAGTTTGGTTTTGTTATGGTCATGTATAATGTCTCAGGAGTATTTAGCCACATATTCTTACAACAAATATTTGTGGAGAACTGTGGCCATGTTTAAATCTTTACATTTCGGGATTAAACTTCGTCTTTACAATTAACATAACACCTGAACTAGTTGGTTAAATGGCATTTAATCTACTACAATAAGTACATTATTTCAATATTATGTAACTGTATAAGACTAGACTGCATGTGGGAAACAACAGCACAGCCCCATCTCCTGGAATATCAAGTCTAAACTATTTCTAGGTTCAATTGGCCATCGTTTATGATTTTGTGGTCGGGACATTTCATTGCAAACAAACAAAAACTGAAAGAATATACGATCATTTTTATGAATCTTTAATTGTTTCAGTTTAGTCTTAAATGTTCTGAAAGGATATCATATTCCTCTATTTTCAGTTTATAATAATATAACCTGAACCTTTTTGTTTTAGTTTTAGATGTATTTTAGAACAGTAACTATGAACCAAATCTGTGTAATCCACATTTTGTGTATCCAGCCAGCTCGACACACTGAAAGACCTTCTGCTGCCTCTCACCTGCCCTTGCGTGCAAATTCAATGGATTTGATGGCGGTGGTGTTGCTGGTGCCTGTCGTAACTCTGAAGGAAGCCACCAGCTCCTGATTGGTTGTTTTCAAAACCAGGATCTGCAACAACAGGGACATGATGGTGAAGGAAACCAGCAAAAACCACTGGACAGCACTCACAAAACAAAGGAACAGCTTATGGTTAAACATTTAATTGGAGAAAAATATATAAAGTTGGGATTAATTTATTTATTCTGAAGAACGGAATAACAATTCAGGAGAAATCTCTGGCCTGCATTGATATCTGCTTGATTCTACATGTACTTATTCAAGCACTGAGCTTTTTTCTCTCAATATTCAAAATAACGTTTGTCTGACCTTTCCTTTGGCGTTGCCTGTGTAGATGTACTGCCCCCGCCTGTCGAAGGCAGCCACTACATTGAGGTCTGAGTCGTCGTCCACTGGCAGGACGACGTGTTTGGAGTCTGAGAGCGTCAGCAGGACCGGCGCTGACTTCATGGGACACACCAGCACTTTGTCCCTAAAACACACACACAGATTCTTGTTATAGCAAGGTGTATTAACCCTTGTGCAAAAGTTGCTCAAATGTCCTTAAAGGACAAATATAACAATATAAATTGAGTTTAATTCACATTCTGTAAATTAAATACTAAGGGAATTCGATGTTTTCACAGTCTGGGATATGTAAAAGATTATGACAGTTTATTTTTGTGCAGGTTAAAGGTGGGGTAGGTAAGTTTGAGAAACCGGCTCGAGATACACTTTTTGTTATATTCCATGGAATGCTCTTAACATCCCGATAGCAATGAATATCTTAAGTGCTTTGACAAAAAATCCATACAAAAATGTCATCTGTGGAAGCCGTAGTACTGTAAAAAGTACGACCAATCATTTTAGCCGGCCCGTCTAAAATAACTGGATGGACTGCCTGCCTGTCAGCTTTCCATCTGTGCACAAACTTATCTCGTGCCCTCATTGGTCATGTGCGCATTCGTGTGTGTTGGAGGAGGGGCTCTCTAAGGAAGTGGCAGATTTCTTCCGGCTGTGTATTTTCAAATTCTAGCGATCTCAAGCCGGTTTCTCAAACTTACCTTCCCCACCTTTAAGATTGTAAATTATAAATAAATAAAATTCCAACTTTTTAGTTTAGAAGACTTTCTTAAACTTCTAAAATGCAAAAATGATATTTATACTAATATTACTTTATCAGTTTTTAATTAACAAAACGAAATAACTTTGCTTCACAGTCTGGGGTATGTCGATGTATTTACATCACTGTCACTCAGATGCTGTCGGCTCACTCACATGTCTCTGGGGTGGCACTGCAGCTTGAGGATGGGTGAGGGGAAGCGGAACCTCTGGTCACAGTCTCCAGTCAGGACGTCCCACTGCGAGACGATGTTGTCTGTGGAGGCACTCACCAGCTTGTGGCCGTCTCGACTCCAGCTGCTCACACACAGACAAATACCATAATTAGTTCCTCATTCAAATATTACGGCCCATAACATTTGGGTACATGATGGAGCTGGCAAAGCAGGTAGAGAGTGGATGTGTGTGTGAGTGTATGTGTCTCACCATAAAGAGCAGACCGGGTGGATGTGTGCGCTGATGATTTTGGCGATGCCCCGTGTGAGGAAGTCCCAGATGACGATGCGGCCGTCGTTGCAGCCCACAGCCAGCAGGGTTCCCCAGCGGTTGAAGGTGCAGGTGAGGGCCATACTGATGCAGTCCAGGGTGCCATCTGCCTCCTAACAACACACACAATGAAACACAACCATAGTGTTTGCATTAGTCTAGGGGTTCCATGTGTATTATTGTTTTGATTGATTTTATTGCACAAATATAACCAGGATTTATTTTGAGCTCATGCAGTGTGTACATTAGGAGCTGCTGGTGGCTTACCTCCGGGTAGTTCTGCCCGAAGGATTCTACGAAAGGAAAAAGAAAAGGATTTCAAAAAACAGAGCAACAGTCCTCCAGGAAGTGCCAGCTGGCTCAGAAACACAACACACATATTCTGTGTGCTACAGCAGAGCCTTGGAATAGGATGTATTTATTAGAACAGAGATCACTTTCATACGCATGGGATTAAAGACAGATATTCATTACATATGCATCAAGTAATGAGTATGTCATATTCACCAGAAAGAAGCAGGAAGTTATCCATGAGTAAAGAGAGAATTCTTCAAGTTTTATCCAAAGTCTGAGCCAGTTATTAATAAGAAAGAACTGTATGGATGGACATTTACAAGAGAAAAAAAATGTACCCAATATTAGCATTAAAGTTTTTTTTAAACGGTGAAACAACCAATTTACAACATAACTTTAGAATGATCATACAGGAGTGTGAACAAGAGGAAGAGTTGGATTTTTTTGAATAGATATTTAAGTGCACTTATTTGCCATTTAAAACAAGAGCACTGCAATCAGTTACTGTGCTCATATTGGCTAATCAATCTTTGTTAAAGTAATGAATACAAAACTGACCCTCTCCTCAAAAGACACTAAAGCTGAAGACGTTTTCTGTTTAGTGTAGTTATTCATGTATGTAAAATGTGGTCTTTGATTCAATAACAAAATGTATTTATGCAATTTGCACTTATTTCTCCTGTTTGTATCTCAATATGGATTGTTTACATTGTTTCCCCTCCCTGCGTATACTCTTTCTGAATGGTAACGTCCTGTCAGATGGAGCAGCTGTGCATTGTTTGTTTCCTCATCATTCTAATAACTGTAAGAGCTTGGAAGCCGTGGAGGAAAAAATAATATTAGATATAATTATTATGATTACAAGGTAAGGGAACGGTCTGTTACTATCACATGAAGAAACATTTAATTCAAACACAATAAGAGACAATGTACCTAGGCTAATGTTAGCTTGCAACAACATGTAGCTGCTACTATCTTTTAAAGCAGCGTTTACATTGATGTAAACGTATTACAATGCATATAGTTTAAAAAGATATACGTTATACACATATTTAACACACCTAAGCGGGTTTATTATATTAACAAATGTATTTCTATTTGCCTCTTTTGGGTTGATGTTAGCATGCTAGGCTAACGTACAATGCTAACCATAACAAGTAGCATTACAGCGACACCGATCAAAGAAATGTGAGATCTATTTAAAACAAAAACAAAAAGTGGTATTTACCAAGCAGCTCTAGATTCATTGTTGGACGACAGAGGATCCCAATGTCTTTCAATACTTTACTTCACAGAATATTTTAATAAAGTTCACTCGTATTTATTTCTGATGCTAGTAACGGAGAGACTGGCGCCGAGCCTCCAGTGAGGACCCCAAACAATGCGTCGTAAAACATGCCTGAACAAAATGTCATTATTACAAGCGTAACATCCATCACTGTACATTTGTTAAAGTAAATACCTCACTTACACGTTTTCAAGAAAGAGAAGGAGCTTTGCATTGAGATAATAACTAAAACATAAATAATATAAGATCAGCAAGTGAAAAAGAGCTGTTAAATGGTTAATCTCAACTCCAAATGTGATGACTACTTTACCTTTTATTTATGTCAAGCCCTGGCATGTTGTATTTTATTTTTGTTCATCCAATCATTTCCATTGATATATATGTAACTGTATATCTGTTGAATTCGTAGACGTATATATGTATATATTTTTGTTGTACCATTGGGTTGTTAACTGGTTTAAAATAGATACAATAAAAAACAAAAATGTTCTGGTAAAACCAATGTAAGTTGCATTATCGACCACACATCGAATAAAAAAGACGAATCAAATACAATTTTGATGTGCTTTTTACTGTTTTTACATGTTTCCAATGTATACTACTTCATAGGCTACTTCTACTCACTACATTTGACAACTTAAATTACTGATTGCTAGTTACTTTGCATATTACAAATATTATTACAAAATATAAAACAGCGAATGAATTTGGGATATATTGTTATTGTTTAAGCTGCACATTAAAATCTAAAGTAACTTAAATGACCTCAACTTTTACTTGCTACAACATTAAAGTGATACAGGCATCAATGTATGTTTTCTGTATCTATGGGTAGAGGTGACCTGTTCATTCTAATCTGTTCTTATGAGTGAATAAAAGTTGCTGCCAACATCAACATGCAGCACTTGCCCTTGACTCTTATCTGTACACTACCTTCTATATGTGACTCTATACAGGCCTGCATGTAATTGTGTGTGTGTGTGTGTGTGTGTGTGTGTGTGTGTGTGTGTGTGTGTGTGTGTGTGTGTGTGTGTGTGTGTGTGTGTGTGTGTGTGTGTGTGTGTGTGTGTGTGTGTGTGTGTGTGTGTGTGTGTGTTTGTCTAGCATATGTAAGTCTCTCACACTGAAAGAACCAGTTGTAACTGCTGCTGATTCAGGATCCGGGGCTTCATCAACAACCGCCCACAATGGACTTCCTGTTTTCACAATGAAAGCTCGAAATAAATGTGCCCTCCTCGGTGATGAAAACACACTGTATTATACAATTGAAAACCCCCCAAAAGACACTTGATACAACTTGATGCATATTACGATATTACTGGATAAATAGGAGAATATAGGTTCTTTGGTTAAAGAACATGACTGTTGCAGTTAATTTTCTTATGGGGGGACTGGGATCGGTTGCTAATTATACAACTAGACAGTTATATGTGAAACATCGTTTACAATATGTATTTGAATGGAAGAAGTCAGATGTTCCAACTTATCCCAGCACAGACAGTTTCAAAACAATCAGTGTGAAGTTAAAACACACTTTAGATTTAATTCACTTTTGACTCTTATCTCAATCAGCATAGTTTTCTGAAAATATGCATTACTATTATAATGTAATTATATTTATCTATACCTAAATGATATAGGGTTTTTAATTTATTCAGCAATATTAGTCAAATAACAGTTAAGTTGAGTTCATCTAGGAACATGGACACATTGAGTCAATGTGCAGTGAGCAGGGCAAAATGTGATTGCATAAGTAAAGTCCTAAAAATTCCTATTTCTGATTATGTATTTATTTTAATGAAAATAAAGCTGCATTTATAAATGAATGTTAGTTGGAAAGATATATATAATAATGTATGTGTCTATATTAATGTTACTTTCTTTTATTCTCTAACACACAAACACATTTCTATTCGTCCTGTATTGTACAAATCAGGCGCAAATATATCATCATATTCAGCCACAACCTTTTTACAACTATATCAAGATGAAAGTAAACGTTTTGTTTGAAAAAAAAATCCAAAAAGGGCAACCATCTGCTATCTGACATCTGCAGATATCTGCTGTACTTAAGGTTTTTCTGTGGCTACCTGAACAATTCTGGATGAAAACAATTCTTACAAAGAGAAAAAGAAAAAAAGAAAACTGACTATTCAAATCAGTCAAATAGAGATTTATTTTATTTCTGTATGACTTTAGTGTTTCTGTGTATTTCACAAGGTCTGCTGTTCAACTAGGATCAATTATGGCCGCTACAAACTATCAGCATCCAACCAGTATTTTAGTATTTGCTGTCTAACTGTCATTTCAAAGCTAATGAAATGTGTGTGTGTGTGTGTGTGTGTGTGTGTGTGTGTGTGTGTGTGTGTGTGTGTGTGTGTGTGTGTGTGTGTGTGTGTGTGTGTGTGTGTGTGAGGGGGGGATAACAAACGAGATCCTGATCCCTGTCTGAACACACCTGCTGCTGCATTGAAGGCCACGTTAGGAACGACTCTAGTTTGTTCAGCACGATTAATACATACTCATAAGTAGTACATATTTAAGGGTACTTCAACTACGATTATGAAAATTAACAAAACAAACAATTAATGGCTTTTTTTCGACAAAACAATCAACAGATTAATCCAAAATAAATAGTAAAACATTTAAAATCATAAGTCAATAAACTAATGGAAACAAAATCACGTTCAAACAGAGAAGTAAAATGTAAGTATTTGTACATTGCATAAGATAGTCCACCTCATCACTGCTACAGGTTTTAATTTGAAGGGTTTGAACGGAAGTACAGTGCGGTGTGTGTGTGTGTGTGTGTGTGTGTGTGTGTGTGTGTGTGTGTGTGTGTGTGTGTGTGCGTGTGTGTGTTTGTGTGCACGCGCGGTGAAGACGCCACGTCGGCAGAACCAGCAGGGTGAAAAGAGAGCTGCGTAGCACAGCCTGTAACTGTGTGTGTGAGAGGAGAAGTTAGAGAGCAGCATATTTTAATGCGATAAAGGCGTGAAGAAGAAAAACCAAAGAAGAAGAGATCGTTAAACAGCCAGAGCAGCACACACTCACACACCGAAAACACATTTATTTCCTCAGAGTTTGTCTCGGAGGCTGAAACAGAAGCTGCTCCTCTCTCAAGTTTCTCTGCCAGGTGTGTTAGTGGGAGAAGCACTGGGAACAATGGTGAAGGTAAGGACTAACCAGCATCTTTATTAACGGTTAAATATCTGGAAACGTGTCAAAAATACGAGGCTACGTGTAACAGCATGCGAGCTATGTGACTGTAGTTTTTTTTAGCAGCAAGCTACATGCGTAATGATGTGGAAATACAAAATGACAAGAGCTCTTTTTATTAGTTTTCTCCCCTTCAGGAAATGTGGCCTCTTCCCTTCCGAAAAGTGTATTTATTTATGTCTAGCATTATTAAAGTGAGGCCTCACAGCTTGCTGCTCATTTTACTCATCAAACTCTTAACCAGCAGTGACAAATCCTATTTTAAAACTCCCCTTTTTTTACATTAGTTAGATTCTTCCAGACTCAACAACATTTTTCAGAAGACTTGCAGCCCTGTTTCCTAACCTTTTTGGATCTGGACCATTTTTTGTGGCTTCCAAGAAGAAGACAATTAAGGGGGTGGGGTGATGGTTTGAGAAATTATTCATATTATAGGATATAGCACTTCTGTTTTTAAGCACATGAAATTATGCATTGATTTGAAGCCTCTACGTGTCATTTTCTCATCAAGGAGTCATGGTTTCAATTCAGCTTCTCGCCTGTAAAAAGAGGGTTCATTTAAAGGGCCACAAGTCAAAAAGGTTAAGACCACTGACCCATAGTGACATGGCACCAGTTAGGTCAATCTCCTGCTTATGTTCGTATCTCCTGCTTATGTTATGTGTGGCAGCCATTTCTTTTACATCAAAATGTATGATCAGTTAGGCTGCAACTAACGGTTATGTTCACCATCTGTTCACCTGCTGATTACTTTCTAGATGTCAAAAATAGAAAAACTAATTTTCAGTTTCTCAAAGTCCAAGGTTATGTCGTTAAATATCTCTAAATTTAAATTGTTTTGTCTGTCAAAAACCCAGAAATATTCAGTAGAATAGGATGTAAAAAGAGAAAGCTCCATATATGAAAGGCATTTCTGTAGTTGAAAAACAAGTTCATTATTTTGTACCGATTACTCTACTAATCATTGCAGCTCTAACTATCAGTGATTCAACAAGATACAAAGACAATTATTTAATAAACTAAATATGTACCCATAACAATACAACTAAATCTTGTCAAACAAATAAGGCAGAATAAAATTTTAAAAAACGGGCCCTACATTTCTATCTATCCAAATATGACTGATTCAGTGAAATGTACAGCTTTCTTTAACAGCATGACAGACAAGACTTAACATGAAAAACAATGTGTGAGGTGACCAGTGTGTAGTTTTGGTTAAGGACTTAATTAAAGGGGTTTACCATGAACACACAGCACTGACTCGGGAATATTCACACACTGTATTCATTTACTTAAGAGACTTCAAATAAATGTAAGTAGAGCTGAGTTTGGTGTAGTGCTGACACCAATGCCAGCATGTTGCCTCTATTCGATACCATACTTAAAATAAATCGAAACATTTACTTTACTTAAACAAAAGGAACATAATCTTTTAACGTTAAATTGACAGTTAAACATTTGGTGTTGCACGACATCACTGAAAGAATTACCACTGGAGAACTTTATAAAACCGTGTCCACAGGACTAAATGCGTTACATGTGAAGCTGTTGGAGTGCTCCTTTTTTAAATGTTGTCTAAATTAATAAAATATTGAAGTCAAGAACTATCTGATCAAGGAATAATCATGGTAATGAATATGACTCAACTTTTATTTAAAGGTGGGGTAGGTAAGTTTGAGAAACCGGCTCGAGATACACTTTTTGTTATATTCCATGGAATGCTCTTAACATCCCGATAGCAATGAATATCTTAAGTGCTTTGACAAAAAATCCATAAAAAAAATGTCATCTGTGGAAGCCGTAGTACTGTAAAAAGCACGACCAATCATTTTAGCCGGCCCGGCTAAAATAACTGGATGGCCTACCTGCCCGTCAGCCTTCCATCTGTGCACAAACTTATCTCGTGCCCTCATTGGTCATGTGCGCGTTCGTGTGTGTTGGAGGAGGGGCTCTCTAAGGAAGTGGCAGATTTCTTCCGGCTGTGTATTTTCAAATTCTAGCGCACTCGAGCCGGTTTCTCAAACTTACCTACCCTACCTTTAATAATAATTTTTTGAAAAAGACGATTATACATACCACTTTTGGAAGTGTCAATGCTCATTTCCATTTATTTTAAATTATTTTAAAAACATATTTCATTATCTTATATATAAATATAAAAGGAGATATGGGATTTTAGTTTGAGATTATAACAGTATTTCTTTATTTAAAAAAGTATACATTTTTCAAGATAAATAATACCAAATACCAAAATGAATGTGAACTTATTAATTTTCAGAACTATCTAAAAGCATAACTCGTATAACTCATTCCTTTCTAGGAACATTGATCTCTATTTCTTGCCCATTAGTCTTACTGTATCTTCCCAAAAAATACATTTATTTGAAATGTCAGTATATGACTGTTTTTGATTCTCAATAAAGTATGTGTTAAATAAAATGAACCCTAAAACTCTTTTCTCCTGATTCTGTGATGATTTAATTGCATGGGAGTTTAAGCCATATGTTATGTTGTTTGGTAAGCCCTGTAACAACATAATCTCCTCAAATGCAAAAAAATATATAAGCCTGGTGTTTCTTTTCTCTTTACGATACTGATGATCCTGGGAACATTTATTTTATTGTTTATTTTTACCCTTTTTTTTTTTTTACTCAGATTTTGTATTTTAAGTTTGAACCATGCTCTGTAAAAAAAATGAAATGGCCAAAAAAAACCTGAATCCTGGGTTTTTCTTTGTTTTGCAGAATGTGAACACCGTTAACGTGGAGCCTCAACCAGGGACCACAGCGGCCCCCGACGAGGCTGAACCCGCTGACAGTCAGCCTGCAGAGGGTAAGCAGATCACCCCCCCACCGCTGGGAACATGCTCCAATCTGTTTTCACGCTGCTATTTCAGAAACTGAGGGTTTATCACAGGGGAGTATTTCTGTTTGCGTGTGAGCGGCTGCAGCTCCAAACCTGCTATTAGTGTCCCAACGAGAGACCCTCTGCTCCTCTTTATTCCCTGATGCCTCTCTCAGTAAACACCTCTGCTGTTCATGGAGTGTTGTGTTTTCAGTGTCTGAGGACAGCTTACTCACCTGGTGAGTTTAGAGATCAAATCATCTGGGGAGTTGTTGAAAAATCCCAGACAAACTGTGACCACTAATTGCACATGTCCTCTTAATGAATGCTGCTATTGTTATGGTTCTATGTCATGTACTGTTTGTTCATACTACAGCCATCATAGCAGCTCTGTGAGACATTAGCTACATGTTGATGCTCAGGAGGTTTAACGTTTACTCTGTTCACCATATTAGTTTAGCATGTAAGCATGCTCAAATATGCTAACTAACTCTAAACACAAAGTTTGGTGCGGCTGAAGGAAATGTTGTTAGTTTTGTTTTGTTATTTGGCACATCAAATATTTTACCTGATAAAATGTAACCGCTTTTATTTATATTAAATGATAATATATCCCATGTTTAATGTCCCCGTAATGAGACATATTAACCATATATTTAAGTTTATCTTCCCAGCATATAGCCAACTGATGGTGAGAGAACCTTCTCTGTCAGATTTGGGGCCAAGATAGTTTTCTTGACTTTGACAGCAATATCTTGACAGTTGCTGAACAGATTTGTATCTTTCAGACTGCATTTGAAACGTTGCTCCCTGAGGTTTTTTTGCTATTCAAACCGCAAAGACAGGTCTTAGCAATCTTTTAGAATGAGTATTCTGAGACCATGCTTTCTTATTGGTACTGTAATACTTCTAAGAGATATTTTATACTTTCTTAACATTTGATTTAACCAGGAGTATTGCAGGAGTCTTGAACATTCAATGATTGAAACCTGCATTTCCTCCAATGGTCACTTCAGGCCGGCTCCAAAAGAGTCTTCATAGATGTTTCATGGCCAACTTTACAGCAGAAGTTTACACATTTACAGACTGCTCCAAAAACAGGTTTGGTCTCTTTATCTTATATATATAGCTAACTATAGCTAATATCCCTGTTTATGACAACTGTTCAATGGTGTGATTCTTTTTTTTTTAAATACATTAAAGCCTAAACTCATGCATTGGTAGGGTTGGGGCCTCTGGATGCTGTCTCATGTTGATGGGGCCTGTTTTTAGATTATTCAGGAGTTACACTCCAGCTTCACAACAAACTAATGGGTGACATCACAGAGACGCAACCAATCTTCTTTTTTTTAAAGTCTGGTTTTTAGCCCAATTCAATCACAACACTGACTTTTAACCGCTTGGAACCAAAACTCAGACAAACATGATTAGTCGATCTCACTCAAATAAAAACCAATACCAAAAATCCTGTTTCCAAAAGATTCTGCATTAAGAGTTTTAAAGTTATAGTTTGAGCATTGGTCGAATAAAGCAACATAATACTCCAACAAACTAAGTATCCAATGTGTGTTAGCAGAGACTTTGGTATTGATGCTTCATGTATGTTTTCTTGTCTTCAGATCCCGGTAAGGACCACGTGGTTGCTGCTCCTGGGATGATGTGGCGGGTGACCGGCGGCCTCTTCAATGTCACTAAGGGGGTGGTGGGTGCAGCGGTGGGCGGGGTGGTCTGGGTGGGCGGAAAGAGCCTGGAGCTCACCAAGACAGCCGTGACCACCGTGCCCTCCATGGGGGTGGGGCTGGTGAAGGGCGGGGTGTCTGCCGTGGCCGGGGGCGTGTCCTCGATGGGCTCGACGGTCGCCAGCAAAGTCCCCTTCACAGCCAAGAGGAAAGACAAGGCGGAGTGATGAAGATGATGATGATGATGAAGATGATGATGATGATAGACTTGCCCCGCCCTGAGCCAACAGAGAGATACTGTCAGCTGATCTCTGTCTGCCAATCAAACTTCTCTGTGCCTTCTGACGCCTTTCTCTGGCTTGAACATGATCCAGACTTTCATGCCAACACACTACTCAGCACCGAGACATTCAGCAGTTCAACGATAACATGGCAACCCATAAAACTCACTGAAAACACTTAATACAGAACTCCACATCGAGCGGGCTCTGTATGCCTGGAAGTGATTATTTTGCTCCAGGCAGATCACATGGACTTCAACACGTGGTGGATGCCTTCATGAATATTTGTATCTGTTTGCAATCCAATCGACTGATGCTGTCCTCTTTTCTTCTCTTTACATATATTTAGTGATATTCTTCTGAATTAAGATGCTGATTCTAAGCTTTTGAAGTACTTTTGAAATTTGTGTGTTGATAACAATGAAAATGTTTCAGTGTTTTTGCAGCGAGGGATCAGCAGATGTTCAGGCTGCAGGCTTCACTGTGTCCTTTAATCCTCCGCAGGAGCCCTGGGCGGAGTTTCTCTCTGCCGAAACATTTGACTGTAGATACAATCAAGCACACCAGCGTGTGGCTCAGGTCGTTTCCACAGATATATACATTGTTGACATGTTTGTTATGTGTTGGACCATGAAAAGTTGACTTTAAGGAAACATTCAGCAGCATTTGATCACTAAATGTTTATTTGAGAGGAAACATTTCCCAGTGTTGTCTGAACTTCTCATTCCGTGAACTGTGCCTTTAATCAGGAACTGTGGTGCAGGCAACATGCGTGAACGTGTATATGCAATATCAGCATTTCAATGCAACATGTGGAGTGAATGGGAGCTGTTGCTGATGGGAGTGAACAATGTGAATGTCTTGTATGTGTTTTGTTTTCCCAATATATCAATAAAGTAGTTTCAAAGTTTAAAGCTGCTCTGTGAAGTTTGTGTGGGGTGTATTTCTTTCTCATACATTTTGAGCTGCATAGTTAAGTTGATTAGAGGTCCACTATTTTATTTATTGGTAACTTTAATTGAAATGTATTTGAGTTATTTGTAGAGAAAAATCTCTAATTCCAGCTTCTTAAATGTGAATAGTTTGTTATTTATTTTCTTTCTCATACAACTAGAGTTGCAAAGTTAAATTGAATATTTGACTATTTTGATATGCACTTAAAGAAAAACACATTAAAATTCTCAAATGTTAGCTTCTGAAATGTGAATAGTATTCTATATTATTTTTTCTTCAATATTTGATTGATTAATAGATTAGTTGTCTACACTTAAATTATATCAACAAATATTTATATAATTGAATCATTGCAACAACACCACGTCAATCACCAGGAAAGCCCAGCAGCGCCTTTACTTCGTCCGAAAACTGAAGAAAGCAGGAGCTTCCCCACCCATCATGCTCTCCTTCTACCGAGGCGCCATCGAGAGCATCCTCAGCAGCTGCATCACGGTGTGGTTCGGAAGCTGCACCGCATCGAACTGCAAGACCCTGCAGCGCATTGTGAACACTGCTGAGAGGATGATTGGTGCCTCACTCCCATCACTCCTGGACATTTATAACACCCGCCTCACCCACAAAGCACTCAGCACTCAGCATTGTGGGTGACCTCTTCCATCCCTCCAACTGCCTCTTCACCCTCCTGCCTTCAGGGATGAGGTTCCGCAGCCTGAGGTCGAGCAGAACCAGACTGAAAAACAGCTTCGTCCACCAGGCTGTCGGGAGGCTGAACTCTCTCTCCCCTCTCTCCCACCTCTCCCTTCTCTCCCCTCTATATTTTTTTTATGTCAATTTATTGAACATGTCAGAAACAAAACATACATCAATACTAATAATAATATATATTGCTTCTTCCTTTTCTTCCTTCTCACTCATAATAATAATTATACCAAAGTACAATAAAATAAATAATAATGATAATGCAAAAAAAAAAAGAAATAAAAAGAAACAACAACAATAAATCTTAAATTAGTCTCTGTCGTGTTCAACAGGGGCAAGAAGAAGCTTAAAAAACTTTTCTGGTCCTACCCCTTCTAGCGTACATTTTCCTTGCAGTATAAATGAAGTAATTAGGTCATCGTCATCAGCGACATGTTTGTCTTGATACTTTTTTACAAAAACAATCAGGAAGTAATTACTTTTACAATTACAGGAAATAACAAAAAGAATTTTTACAGGTACTGTTCATAACCACTAATGGTTTGGCTCTTGAATAATACTTTCATTTTATATAAAGTTGTACAATTTTTCAGTGCATCACTACATTTATTCCACAGACTAACACCTTTTGATGAGATGCAATGAAGTTTGGCATTTGTACGTACGGGTGGTTTTTTGAAAATGCAGTTTCCTCTCAACATGTGCATGCCTTCTCTCCGTGTAAAAAGTCCCTGGACACCATGAGGCAAATGATGATTTGCGGCCTTGTACATAATTTGAATGGTTTTATAGTCAACCAGGTCTTGTAGTTTTAGTGTTTTTAGTTTGATAAATAATTTATTTGTTGGTTCTCTGTACGAAGTTTTGTGTATAACTCGTATTGCTCTTTTTTGCAGGATGAAGATAGGATGTGTATTTGTTTTGTATGTGTTCCCCCAAACCTCCACACAATACATCATGTATGGAAGTATGAAGGAGCAGTACAGCATAAACAAGGAAGCTTGATTAATTAGGTATTTGGCTTTATTCAGAATTGCTATTGATTTGGATATTTTGGCTTTGATATAGCTTATATGTGGTTTCCAACTTAATTTATTGTCTATGATTACTCCAAGGAATTTTATTTCCGTTACTCTTTCTAGTTGGACGCCATTTATAGTGAGTTTCTTCTCTGTATTGGTCGACCGATTCCCAAATATTATGAGTTTGGTTTTGCTTGCGTTCAATGTTAATTTATTTTGGTCAAACCAGATCTTCATCCTGCTCAGTTCCTTTTCCATTGTGACCAATAGCTGTTCTAGATTGTCCCCACAGCAGAGTAGACTTGTGTCATCTGCAAAAAGAATGGTTTTAACAGTTTTTGATACTTCACATATGTTGTTAATATACAGAATAAATAATAATGGCCCCAAGACAGAGCCTTGAGGCACCCCCATGTAACCTGTAGTAGTTGTGATGTATGACTTTGTATTTCAACGTACTGATTCCTGTTATGTAGGTAGCTGGATAGCCATGATAGTGCAACACCTCTAATTCCATATCTCTGTAGTTTTTTTAATAATAGTTCATGGTCAACCGTGTCAAATGCTTTTTTAAGGTCCAGAAATATCCCTATTGCATATTCTTTCTTTTCTATTGCCTTAGTAATGTGTTCCATAAATTCTATAACTGCAAATGATGTGGTTCTGTTTGCTCTGAAACCATATTGTTGTTCATAGAGTATGTTATGTTTGGTGAAGAAGTCATTTAGTCTTACATAGTAGATTTTTTCCAGTATTTTAGAAAACTGTGGGAGCAATGAAATTGGTCTATAGTTTGACAGTACATGTTTATCTCCAGATTTATGTATCGGTATGACTTTAGCAGTTTTCATTTTATTTGGAAATACACCGGTTTGTATTGACTGATTACAGATGTGAGTTAGTGGTTTGGCTATACATTCAATAATGTTTTTAACTGTATACATGTCAATATCATGACAGTCTGTAGACCTTTTACTCTTTAGTTTTTTAACTGTGTCAATAATTTCATTTTCATCAGTCCCTCTTAAGAATATAGTTTCCTTCACATTTATATCTTTACTTTCTACACCTTCACTACTACCAGTATTTGGAATTTCCCCAGCTAGACAAGGACCAACATTAACAAAATACTCATTAAACTGTTCAGCAACTAAGGTCATGTCATAAATGACTGTATTGTCTTTTGACAGAAAACTGTTTGGGTGCTGTGCTTTTCCATTTCCTTTTTTAATAATGGTATTTAATACATTCCATGTGTTTTTAATATTATTTTTGTTATCTTCCAATAATTTGTTGTAATGATCCATTTTGCTACATCGTATTATCTTTGTTAATTTGTTAATTTGTTCATATCACCTCGCCACCCTGCCCCCACTGGACCGAGACTTTAACACCCCTATGCTATTTGTGTAAATAGGTTGGGGTATAGGTATGTATATACATATTTTATTTATATTGTATATCCTTTATTTTATTTTATACCTCGGGACTGTGGGAAACAGTATTTCGATCTTTCTGTGTGTACAAACATATTTTGAGATTGACAATAAAGTTGACTTTGACTTTGACTTAATATTCAGCTCAACTTGTTTATACACACTGTAAAGAGTCCCTTCCCCTTCTCTTTTAGCTCATCCTGCTTTAGAGGAACATTTGGAATGTTATCCAGAATCATAGAACTCCAGCTGTGGATGTTTAACCAAAGAGCACATTTGATTCTTTTTGGATAATTCAATATTCCTACAAAAAACGGTCTGAAACCAAACCAACTTTCCTGCACTTAATTATCAATTAAATCAACAAAGCAGCATCTTAACTTATGTTGAAAACAAGAAAAACTATTATGACATATGAATATGATACGATACAATACTTCTTTGTTGGATGAAGTGTGAATTTGTTTTTTTTTGCTACTCCATTTGCAACATCAACAAGGAAAAACATTCAAGACAAGAAAGAAGGGAATTCAGCAAAACATGTAAGTTATTATATATAATAACTGTACAATGTAATCCATGTAAAGTGTAATTGTTCCTTCTTTTGTGTCTTTCTTATTGTTTTTTTTTATTTATGGGTTTCTTTGTACATTATGAACACGTGGAAGAGCACCACCTGTAGTTACCTGTAGTTACCTGTATTCAACACGAGGGGGCAGCAGCGTCCTCAGTGCTATTTAAACTGCTGGAAAGGGAAACCGAGCAAGATAACCCGGAAGAGAATGTCTGTGGTGTCCACATGTATCACCACTGTAAACATTTGTAATGTTAGTTAAGTGATATAAATGAGTTTAAACTGCCATATCAACAGTCGATAAGTACTATAGCTGGTTAAAGGTAAGATAGTTTTATTTATTTTAAAAACGTCTTTATTATTTTCAGCGTAGAAGAGAGCACACGACTTTATCAAAACGTTATTAAATGATTAAACACAAGCTGCTGTAGGTAACATTGTATGTATCCAACAGGACTAACGAACCTCTATCCCGAGAGCCCGTTTGTATTGTTTTTGAGATATGAAATGACATATCTATACATGTTGGGCATATCAGCCCGACCCAGCAGTACTTTGACATTGTTGTGTCAAGGATCTGAAGATCTAATGTTATAGATTTCTAAACTGAGGAGTTTGGTTTTAATAAGTGCTGTCATTAGTTGTGTAACTCTATGCTGCAGTGTTGTCCAAGCTGATGGCTGGTGTTGGTTTTGTGTCTTAAATCAGAAACCGTTTGAAGATGCTGAGTGATTTTGAGGCTGCAGAGCTGCTCTCCTTCCTCACCCCTGAAGCACGTCCCGATGTCAAAGGTCACACCACCAGCTACATCCTGGGACTCTCTGGAAACCGGTAGGAGGCTGATGATGATGATGATAATGATGATGATGATGATATCAATGATTCATGTTTTCTTTTTTAAATGTTCTTTTATATTTTGAATATAATCTATTACACAGTCATTTCACATATTACATCTTTTTTTTTAAATGCATTTAATTCCATTTTACAGTCTAGCTCAAATGTTTTTATAATATTAGATTTGTATTATTTAAATTACTTTCTTTTTATCGATTATATATCCAAAAATATAAAAAAACAAATATGACTCGCATTAAATTCTCACTTGTTTATGTTTGACAAACTCAGAAAAAGTCTTTATTGCACTTAATCTAATTTATTTAAATTCAGAAAACAAAAATCTTCTTGGACTTGCAGGAAAAGGAAAAACTTTCCATAATATTTATTCAATATATATATTTCTATCCATTCATCAATGGTGGGTGATTCTTATTTTGGCCACTTCGTTGTAACACTAAATGATTCCAGACAAGACTCAGCACAGCTTGTCTACTGCATTCCACTGTCACAGGAGAGATGCTTCACGGTGTGTTACCATTTCATTACTTAACTATGAGCATGACGCACATTACAGATGTGTGGTATGTCATCACAGTATGTAATATAAAGGAAAGGAAATATAAAGAAAGTAGGATCACCCTGACTAAATATGACATAAAATACTTTATATAAAACTTTATATATATATATATATATATATATATATATATATATATATATATACTTTATACTTTATATTGCTGATTTCTCCATCTTTTCTTTTTTGATGTTTGTTTTCAGGGATGGCTGCCGCTTCCTCCGCACCAAACCGGACATCATTACTGCCCTGTTTGCTCTGACCTCTGACCCCTCTATTGCTATTGCGAAAGACTGTTACTTCACCCTCATCAACCTGTCTGCTGACGAGACTCTGCACCAGGTGATCAGCAGAGCCCGGTCTAAATTCACCTATTAGTGATGAATTATTCATAAGTAGCTCAACTGTTTGATAAAAGAAACAATGTGTGCAGGATATAACAATGCACATGTATTAACTGAGCTGTGATATGTGCGGTCTTACAGGTGTGTGTTTCTGTTTGTGTTTCTCGCAGGTTTTGTTGACAGATATCAAAGTTCTTCAGGTGATGTTGAAGAAGGTTCTGGATCCTGAGTTTGTGTTTTCAGATCAGATCTGCAGCATCCTGTCCAACCTGACCCGCCATCTCAAGACCTGCAAGATCATGTTCAAGGTTTGTTGATTAAACGTTTAAAATGTTCAAATCAGGGGAGCAATATTTTTTAAATGCACAATATGTATCAAAACATCAGTTAATGTGTCTATTGTTTTTGTTTTTATGGCTGGTTTTAAAACATCACAGCGCTATGAACTATGGGTAGTTAAATCAGGCAAAGTCTGCGTAAATGGGGATGTATGGAAAGTGTGCGCAAAGGGGTTTAAAATGTCCAAACAACACCCTCACATTTCACAGCTTTAAGGCCTCTTTGTCTGTTAGTGTGGACATTGTAAATGCACTTATCATATTGCAGTGAACTGTAGGGATGGGTACCGAGCCCCGGTATTAAACGGCCCCTGGGGCTGAATTATTAAAGACCGTGGTACCGTTAAGCTCCGACGTTATCGGTCTTTTTATCGGTACTAGAGACATCTAAAAAATACGTCATATGTATTATTGCTACACAATCGGGACAATTTGTTTAATTAGTTTACCTCGTTTTTTCTCTCCAAAAGAACCGATAAGAGTTCCGTTAAAGGACCGGATCAATAAGCTGTATCGATAAAAGTAGTAGTACCGTTAAAACCTTAACGATACCCATCCCTAGTGAGCTGTTCCCGTACAGGTCCACAGAGTCTCTCAGGTCATCAAATGAAGCGCTCCTGGTTGAGCCCTGCAGGGTGCTGACGGGTGTTTCCTCTCTGTCTCAGGTCCTGCAGGAGGATGTGGGTGTAGCGAAGCTGGTGGAGATCTTCTGCGCTGAAAGTTTCAACAAGAAGGCGAAGTTCCACCACCTGGGTCCTCTGCTGTCCAACCTGACGCAGCTGCCCGAGGCCCGGAGCTTCATGATGGACAAGGACCGGTGAGTGATCTCAGGACGAGCACTGAGGGTCTGACAGAGGAGGACCTGTGGCCGGGAATTTAGGGTTCGAAAAAAATGTGTAGAAGAAACGGATGAGACCAAAATGTTTTGAAGCTTCAGCTGGTGTGAGCTTTGGTTTCTCATTTAAATTGTCATATACCACCAACAAAGCTTGCTATGCGATTGATATTTATTTTATCAATGAGGATGTTACGACTTTTTATTTGCTTACTATGTGTTTACTATGTAAAATAAAACCTGAGAAAAAGAAACAGAAATGGGTCCAAGTGGTTGGGCCACATAAGGTCAATAGATCCAGAAAGCATTTGAGATTAAATCTCTTTAAATCCTCAGTAAACATCCAATAGGAATGACTTTCTGTGAAAACCTTTCAAAGGATTTAATGTAGTCCTCATCAAAAACTAATATATTTGTTCATAAATGCTTAACCAATAAATGCACTTCATATGTTTTTCTGCTACTAGTAGACAGTTGAGGGATGTGTTAATGGGCTACAAGGCAGTAGTCTATTTTCTTCTGGAGTGAAATGTGTGTTTGGGTCTGTGCTCTGCAAGACCCAAACACATGAGGTGAACCACATCTAAACATGTGCTTGAATGCATCATGTGTAAATAGACACAGTTCTGAAATATCATTTTCATTTGGTTGATGGGTCATACTGAACCAAAGAGCTTCATGACAGTCGAGTCGTTAATCCGCTAATATTCACAGTACATTTAATGAAATGTACCCATAATGACATCATTTGTCCTCACAGCTGCTGCAGCATGTCATAATTAGCTGTGTGTGTTTGCTTTGCAGGTGTGTGATCCAGAGGTTGTTTTCCTACACTCAGTACCAGGCATCAGTGGTGAGGAGGGGGGGGGTCGTTGGGACCCTGCGCAACTGCTGCTTTGACCACGGTGAGACACAGAGAGACGTCATTAAGAATTACTGGCAGATCTGATAGCTACCTAATATAAAAAGTGAAATGCTTCTAAGAAAATATATCAGGAACACATGTAGGGAATGTTCTTTACATTCGTTTAAACAGCTCTGTATTAAACATTGCTTTCTGTCATCTGGCAGCCCATCATGAGTGGTTGCTAAGCGACGATGTGGACATCCTGCCCTTCCTGATGCTGCCGCTGGCCGGACCAGAGGAGCTGACGGAGAAAGAAAACGACGGTGAGGCTCTCATTAGAAAACTGTTCTGGTCCATTTAGGTTACCATTTATGCGTAGAACAAGTCTGGTGATATTTATTTCTACAAATCCCAACAACAAAAAATGATTGTGTATGTATCTAAATCAGGGGTCTCCAACCTTTTTTAGGATGAGGGCTACTTTCAAAAAATAAAACAAGTCGGAAGCTACTTTTACTCCTTTTTTTTTTTTTTTGCAGTGTATATATTTAGCACATTTTAACATTATGATATGCTGACCTTTAACCTTTGTGTGCTGTTTGGGTCTGTGGGACCCGTTTGCAGTGTTTACTAAAAGAAAATGTATGCAATCTAATTATTTTAACCTGCTTTATTTGGGGGTGGACCTCACATCCTCTAGGGGGGTCGGGGGGGCATGCACCCCCGGGAAGATATTTTTTTAAATGTTGAAGTGAAATGCATCAATCTGGAGCACTTTGAGCACAAAATGAATTTATGGATACAGCTCTCAACACTCATATGAAAGGGAGCTGTATACTTTTCAATAATCCAAACATCTTTAGAATATGATCACAACCAATAACAAATCATTTAAACTTGTTTATTCTTATCTTATGTTACCTAGTTAGCATTCTTTCTTTTTATTTATGCATATTTTACTAATCACTCCCCTTTCAACACATTGGAATGATTTCTTACTTTATCTATATTAAATAGATAAAGGTGTGCTCTCCCTAGCTCTCTCTCTCTCTCCTATCTATCTATCTGTCTGTCTATCTATCTATCTATCTATCTGTCTGTCTGTCTGTCTGTCTATCTATCTATCTATCTGTCTATCTATCTATCTGTCTGTCTGTCTGTCTGTCTGTCTATCTATCTATCTATCTATCTATCTGTCTATCTATCTATCTATCTGTCTATCTATCTGTCTGTCTGTCTGTCTGTCTGTCTGTCTGTCTGTCTGTCTATCTATCTATCTATCTATCTATCTGTCTGTCTGTCTGTCTGTCTGTCTATCTATCTATCTATATATCTGTCTGTCTGTCTGTCTGTCTCGCTCACAGAGGCTGTGTGCTCCTCCGTGGCGATGACGGCTTGCGTTAAAAAATAATAATAAACATATTTGTAAAGTGGGGGGACACAAACGGGATTTTGAAAAGAGCGGGGGACATGTCCCCCCTGTCCCCAGTGGAAATGACGCCATGCGTGTGTGCGTCAAGTGCAATACATATATATGCAAGTTGCAACACACACACAGTAAAGCTCTGCCCCTCATGTGCTGTATAGGCTGTTCAATGGGGCTGATGTGTTGTGTAGATTCTGCCAGAAGGAAAGGTCAAACTCCTTATGAAGCGGTGAGCTGCCGCTCCACATTGCTTTTCTTCCCGACTGCAACGTTGGTCCCGCAAATCAAGCAAGAACGTGATTGGTCGATATTCATTGTGGGGTGGGGGGAGGAGGGGTGTTAGATAGATAGAGTTGTAGTAAGTAGATAGAGTTCGCTATGATTGAGGTTTCGTTTATGCATAGGGTAGATTCTTTAAATTACATTTCCTTTTTTTTTTGTGTGTATCTTTTACATTTTGGATTTGCTTGGCGAGCTACTTATTGAGTGCTTGCGAGCAACCGGTAGCTCGCGATCGACGTGTTGGAGACCCCTGATCTAAATCCTGATATATCTTCTTCCTCTGTGCCATAGAGCTCAATGTTGTCCAAATACAAAAAAAAACTCATGTTTAACACTGTTTTGTGCTGTCCCAATTACATACTATTACACCAAATGGGGATTAATCCGCCGCTGAAAATAGTCCCAGACAAACGCAGTATTTCAAGCTGTTAGAGTTACGCTTACTAAAGTTTACAAAGGGTTTATGGATGGACCCTAAAGTTGAAAACTCTTGTTTTACAACAGCAAGTTATCAAGGCATAGAAAGTAAGTGAAACAAAATACACAAGAAATATATACTGTACATATCAACATTACAAAAACGTATTTCTATAAAGTCTATAGAATACATAAAATAAAAAATTTGAATACACTTTAATATGCTACTACAGCTACAATGTTAACGTAGGATAACAATGATATCTACATTAGACAAGTGTGCAAAGTTGTTTTCATTTCTTAAACCACCGAGCCCTTTTTTTGTGAATGTCTATTACCATGTTGTGTGTTCAGTTTGCACCAATGGGCTTGGGGCTGAGTGGGCAGGCAGGCGAGACAGTTTGAGACTCACTGACTCTAACAGAGGTGTTGTTCAGGTCTGCCTGTGGACCTGCAGTACCTCCCCGAGGACAAGAAGAGAGAAGAAGACCCTGACATCAGGAAGATGCTGCTGGAGACTCTTCTACTGGTACAACACGACAAAGACAACAGCACATATAGACTCATGTTTTTATGTTTGGTGTTTCACTGTTCTTCTCTTTTACAGCTGACAGCGACCAAAGCGGGTCGGGACATATTTGAGAAGAAGAGCGTTTATCCTATCATGAGGGAGTTCCACAAATGGGAGACGGATGTCCACGTTACAGCGGCCTGTGAGAAACTTGTGGAGGTAGGAAAGAGTTAATCATCTTGTTTTTACTATCAAATACATTAACGAGAATACAAAATGCCATGTAACGAATAATCTCTTGAAATGTTTCTCTATGTCCTTTATTTAGAAAAAGTTGGCACCCAAATTAGATTTGTTGTATCCCTCGATCCTCCCCTGCTTTCCCTTCTATGACAAGTTTAAATGCCTGCTATTAAAAGCTGTATTCAACAGCAGCGAGAACTTAATTTTTTTAATGACCGTAAAATTAAATCAACATCTCTCTAAATCAGTTTCCCCTCAAACTCTCATGAGTTAAAGAGGTATTCTTGAAAGTGGTGGATTACGCTGCGTTACCTAGGTGTACCTTTATATATACAGTCTATAGGTATACCTTTATATATACAGTCTATAGGTATACCTTTATATATACAGTCTATAGGTGTACCTTTATATATACAGTCTATAGGTGTACCTTTATATATACAGTCTATGGGTGTACCTTTTAGGGATGGGAACGATTAATCGAATATTCGAAATTATTCAGGTATTCGAATAATTATTCAGGTATTCGAATATGAGTTATGAATATTTTTTTTTTTTTTTTTTTTTTTTTTTTGGGAGGGATGCTTAAGTTGATTACATATTATCAAATTGAATAATTCAATGTATACGACAGTGCCATAGCTAAATGTGTTAGGTGACGTCTAAAGGTGTGTTTTGCTCCGCTCACCGGTCCCTCACAGCGGGCAGAGCTGCAGGTGCTGATCTCTCTCTCTCTCGCGTCCGGTACTTCACTCGCGTTTATGTCCAAATCCATCAGATCTAGCTAGTTCTAGCTAATGATATGGCTGCTGCCCCTCCCTACACGCAGATCACGCAGACTCAAACCTCATCTTATGCCCAAATGCGCCGCAAATGCGCTCCGCAGCCGTTGCGAGGTTCTGGCGCTAACAGTTCATGAGCGTGCTCCCCCGCCCCCTGTCAACACTCGCGTCACATGAGTGGCCAGCCTAAACATCAATAAGCGCTGCTTGGCAACCGTGTGTGGCGGCAAAGTACATAGACATTTTGATAGGAGAGATTTAGTTTTGCCGGTATTCAACATATTTACCAGTCATAGTCCGGTAATTATTTACACTCTAAGAAGAGTCCTACACAACAGACATGGCGTCAAAAAGGAGTAATGTGTGGAAATATTCCGACCAGGTTAGTGAGTGCGGTGTAGAGTGCAAACTATGCCAAATTAAACTTATATATATACATACTATACCTTGCTATACCCGCAACCTCCGTTCCAGCTGAGAGGGTCTTCTCTACAGCTGGCCTGATTGTGAATCGCCTCCGCACATGAAAGCTGTAGGCCTATAGCTGTCAAACTGTGATCAGCAGTTCAATACATTTGACAAATTCGACTTGGTTTCTATACTTATTTGAACATGTATTTATTTCCAAAAGTTATTGAACTTTTTTTTTTCGAAAAAGAATGTTAGCATTTTTTTTTTACCCAACTTTTTTTTTTATAGGATATGTACATTTCGGTTAACCGTTTTTTGGGGGGGTCGAATATTCGAATATACATTTGCTTTCAAATTCCCATCCCTAGTACCTTTATATATACAGTCTATGGGTGTACCTTTTATATATACAGTCTATGGGTGTACCTTTATATATACAGTCTATGGGTGTACCTCATTCTAAATTGACTATTGTGTGTTTTTTGTAATCTCTTTTGAATAAGAGTCAAAATACAAATGTATCCTGGTGTAAATTACGTTTTTTAAATTTTTTTATTATTTATTCTACTATTTCAACAATTAGACAGTTTATACATCCGAAAAACAAACAAAATTAATAGAAGCTGGAGGGCAGAAAGCATAACTTATACAGAGATAGCCCTCCCGTTACGTTTGTGACAGTTGAACTTTTTTTTTTTATACTTTTTTAACTAAGTATATTTTATACTAACACACCACTACATATAATATAATTAGGGTTGCAAAATTCCGGGAATTTTCAAAGATGGAAACTTTCCATGGGAATTAACGGGAATTTATGGGAATAAACTGGGAATTTTCAAAATTGAAGGTTGGCTCTTCATAGGGAACTTAAATATAGTTGGGGAAAGTATATTTTAGCATAATCTTGACTAAAACAAACAGTACACTTGAATATCCATGCCATAGCACACTGCTTACTGCATGGCTATTGAGACCACACCCCCTACAGGCACTGTGCATTCCTCCATCACATGCACAGACGAGTAATATTTAACTCAACATTCCTGTTTTCGTTCTTCAATGAAACAAATAATTGTTCAATAAAATAATTAAAACTTGTTCTGTTCCACTTAAAAAAAATCCCTAAATATAATACACTTTTTTTACTTTCCCTTTTTGTGTTATACAATAAGTTTATCTTATTTTATTTTATCCTTTTATTGCACATTAATATCTTAATTTGTTATGTTTATATAATATATTGTTATTCCATTTTATGTTATCCTTTGATTGCACATATATAATTGTATTTCCTATTTTTTTTTTATACATTTTGTTATTCTATTTAATTTGATCTTTTATTGCACGTTATTACTTTAACTTATTTTGTTTATGTGCATATTTGTATCATAGAGGAGCAACTGTAACTAACCCCTCTTTCCCCCCGGGATATTAAAGTGTTCTGGTTCTGTATGCCCGTGTCTCATGATCTCCCCTCTGTCTCCCCTCTGTCTCCCTCCCTGCAGGTGCTGATAGGAGACGAGCCGGAGCCGGGGATGGAGAACCTGTTGGAGGTGGACATTCCTGAAGAGGTGGAGGAGAAACTGACGAAGGCAGACGCCAGAGAACAGGAGGAGCTGGAGAAGGAGCAGGAGAGGATGAAACAGGAGGAGGAAGAGGAGAAGAAAAAGAGGAGTGACACAGAGGGGGCGGAAAAAGAACAGGAGGCTGGACTGATACGATGAAGCTTTCAGACGTGGTTTCATCCACTGCATCTATTTAAGCAACGGCTTTTTGACATTCAGACAGTTAAATGTTTATTACAGCTTTATTCAGACATTACAGGACTCTGAGAGAGCCACTGTGGTTCATCCTCAGCTCCACAGAGGACTTATCACTGCTGCAGGGCTCAACTAGAGTTGAAAATGTAAAGTAAGTACCGTAATGATATAAAAAAGAAGAGTGTTGGATTTTAACATTTATTTTTCTCTTGAAAGCCTTTAAATAATATTGTGAGCATGAGCGGTTAGAGCTGCAACTTACCCGACTTATCTATTAGACGTTTAACAAAAAAAACGTAATCATGGTTTTTCAATCATTTTTCAAGCAAAAATTGCCATCTCAAATGTGGAGATTTCCTGTGTTTCTGTTGTGTTGTAGACTGACAACAGCTTGGGCTTTTAGAACCTAGGATGGATGTTTTCCATGCTTTCTGACATTTATAGTAAAAAACTTCATGTAGTAAATACTGGTCAGAATAAATACTAATAAAAGGTGTTTTTAGTTGTAGCTCCACGAGGGACACGCGCTCTGCTTCTCACAGTGAATCGGTTTCATCATATATTAGTGATTTTAATCACTATTACAATTATTTTAAAGTTTTTTCTTCACTGTCCCACATAACAAGGGCGGAAACATTTTCTACAGTTGGATGTGACATTAGGAAAGTCTTTAAACATAAAAATCACTAATCTTCCATTTTGTTGTGTTTAATAATCTGTTTTTATTATTATTATTATTATTATTATTATTATTATTATTATTATTATTATTAGCAGGAATGATGACTGTATTACAATGGTTTCAAAGACCCATGTGAATTGTTAACACTACGTAATGGGGGGGGGGGGGGGGGGGGGGTGTCGGCTTGCTCAGTATGGAGATCTCCACTCTTGGGATGGCTGTTTGATCCCTAACTTCTTTCATTTGCATTTTAAGTAGGTTATACGTTTAGGAAAAGTCATTTTTATACCACCTCTTTGTGACAGTATCAAACTGCCATGATCTTCAAGCTTTACCTTGAATCTAAATGACATTTACACATAAATGATATGACACATTTCCTCAAATAGAAATGTTTTACACATCTTTAAGCACATCTTTGGAAGCTCTGACACGAAAAGCCTCACACTGATTTGTGGTCAGATTTTCACCAAACGTCAGGACAGTTGTTACTCCTCTGAAGGATATTTTAAAGTACAGGGATGACCAGCAGGGGGTGTCGGAGTCCTTTTTTCTACACTAACATTGATGATAAACCCGTTAACTGCTCCACTGCTCTCCTCTGCGGAGGTTTATCTTTAACTTGAAAATAAACAGAGTGAAATGTAAGAATTATTAAAGCTCCTCACGATGTGACTCAATAGCAAGTCATACAGTCAGAAGATGTTCACCTAGTAAGTGGAAGTCATGTTTTGTTTTGTAGTTTTATGTGTCAGAATCCTCATTCACATGATTTGAACAACACATAAAAAGTGTGAGCAGGGAGAAGAGAGCAGTACACGTTAACCTTTACACGAGTGAGACTAGATAAAACCAGGAACTAGAACTCAACTCTGCATGTCCTTTTTTCTCTGTACTTGTGAGGACCAGTTTGAGTTTAAACCATTTCAGACAGAAAACATTTTCTGAAAAGTAAAGTGGGGAAAGTGAGGAGACTTTTAAGAAAGTTATTAAAAGTGGACACACTGTGGAAAAGTGACAACATTTTTTAAGACCTTTTTTTGAAATGGAGGACATTT